TTACGGTATTAAGTCAGAGTTAGTCATAATAATTTGAAGTAATTGTATAACTTTTTTTCTGCTTATAACACTAAAAATAACGTTACCACTTGAGTAACTCACTACATTAGTTATATAACAAATTGTTGACATTGAGGTTCTAATTTTTTGTCTTACCTTTTGTTACTACCTATGAGTTTCAAATCGCTAAAAACAGTCGTATACGAGTGGTGTTCGGCAATTTCTGAGCATGTAAGATATATCAATATAAAAATGTTGGCATACACTTTGTCTTAAAATAATGTGGCTAGGCGCCGCTACTTATGTATATGCTGTACTCGTACATACGAGAAAGTAATGGTTGTGAATCGTCTCGAAAGGAATAGATGTCGACAAGCAATGGGAAAAGTTATATACGATTGTATTCAAAACACTTATACTATATAGTGTGATAGTGCTTAAACTTTAGCGCATATCTAAAGCGCTTTCTACACCCTAAAGATACACATAATGCAGTAGTAAACGAACAAACAAACTAATTATTTTATTAGTATTGAACTAACATATGATAACTGTCAATAGTGGAAAATTCTACATAACAGTGTTTCTTATCACATAAACTTATATGGAGGAGGTTATAGAGCTCTATAGCACATAGCAAGTAAAATATATTAAAATTCTCAAATTATTGGCTTTCTACTTTGCAAGAAGCAATTACAACGCCTAAAAATGCTCTAACAGTAAACTGCTGATTACTGCTGATTCTGCCTAGTGATCTAGTTGGGTTAAATTTGTGACTTAACGGATGATACATTAAGCCCTTCTCCTCTATCACTCATGATAGACTAAAATCCATAGCTAAAGATTAAAGTCTTCCGCAAAATCGTATACCTAAATTTAGAGCAAAGGCTTAGTCTTATCTGTCAAAATGTGATAGAGGAGTAATCGGCTTACTTAACGAAGATGATCTAAATTCACCAGTAAATGATTTTGAGTGCTCGCTGTAAAGTGGAAACTTCATCTTTTCACGATAGACCAAAACCTGATTTGTCTAAATCATAATGATATATGAAATAAGATTTTATCAACTCGTTTTCCGGAAGTTAAATAATGACTATTACGATGCCACTCCATAACCTAGTTTATTCTGAATAGCCACATAATACACCGTACCATTTCCCTAGAACAAGCATTTTTATTTTAGCGTGTATGCAAAATTGGACTGCTGCATTCATGTTGCAAACGCTTTCGCTCACGTAGTAGTAAAATATTCTAAAGTACTCAACGTGTAGGCAGAATTGCTGTATTCGTATCTGCTGCTTTATTGTTCCAGAATATCTAGCATAAAAATTATTGACAATGAATGCACTCTGATATTTAGAAATTAAATGAAACGTACACGTTGTCCTTATATAGTACATCCATCGCAAATTCACTAATTTCTTTATGGCATGAAAAATATTTTACAGTCGTATAAAATTGGCCATGAGTATATTAAATTTTAAAGGTACGAACAATACTTGTAAATTCTACTAATCGATGATAATTTTACTTCTATTTCAACGGATTATATATTACAAATTTGTAGGTAAATGCTTACAATTTGAAAGTGATAGAATTAGGCTAAAATTGAATTCGTGATCTTACAATGGCTATTACTATTATTGATGTCACCCAAATTCTTTCATAACATTTGTAAAAGATATCAATGAAGGTAATGAGAAATTCTTTAGAACAATAGCAAAATTGTTAATCTTATCGAATACTGCAAATACTGAATAATAAAAATCGAAATTGAGTCTCCAATATACAAAAACAGCGAGAACAAAAAAATTTATCGAGCTACGAAAAAACTCACATGTAATACTTGATAATTTCTTATTTATAGCTATCCTTGCCGCTATCTGATTAATAAAACTACTGCTAGCGAAAGTCATTACTATATGCTAAAATAACAATAAGCACTGGCCGGTAACTGATGCTCAAGCTATGATAGAAGGTTTACTCTTATTTATTACACAAAAATATTTGAAAATTTAATAATATAGAGCCAATTGGTGGTAGAATCATCGCTAAAAATTTATACTTTCCCGGTCAATAAATCGATGACTCGGTCATAATTTTAGATTGATTTAAGGTTGTTTTACTACATGCATAATATGGAATAGTTACTCAATTTCTCTTTGATAGGATCACACATTTACCTTTTCAAATTCACGGTAGTTATTTTAAACTTCGAACATAGCACGTTATAGTCACTGAATTTTGCTGGATATAGCTCATTAGGATATGAAAGTTTACGATGGTCTTGGCTTAAATTATTGTCATTTACTCTAGTGATATTTTCAAGCTAAATTATAAGCCTATAGGCATAGCATAATGCGAAGCTTAATCTCAATGATCAATGTAGCCTATTTTCCTTCCCGGGTTTGTTGGTTTAGGAAGTTTCATATTATAGTGATATTTGCTACAATCCGGAAGTTCGCTATTATCGATTCGCCTAAAGTTAAATCTTTCTTAGCTAAAAGGTTTTATCAAATTTTTTCTTAATAATGGGTCGAACATAGCCGAATTAAACTAATATTTTTATAATTATTCCAAGAAGTGAGAAACTTTCGAGTATTACCTTTGGCAGTATTCCTTCTAACTTTCTTACTCTCTTACGCCAACTCATTAAGGCAATAACTACACCAATAGGATATCATAAATTGAATTAATTAAATTACTGGTATGCATTTCTCCTCTTAGTGCTTTCAGATTGTAGTTATATCTATATTTTGTAACAAATTTTAAATAAAACCCTAATAAAATACATGCTGTTCAACGTGTATAGATCTTAATACGAGTTTAGTCTTGTCAGTAAACCAAGAGATTTAATCTACCGTGGACACAAACTGAATGAATGAAGCTAAATTACCACTAAGCTGTATTACTGTATCTAATTTTATCTTCTTAGTAATTGATGATGCTGGATGCAAGCCGCCATCTTCACCATGAACCTTAATTTAAGATCTTGATATTAAATAAACACCGTTGATTTCATTTACTTTTATTACCTAGAAGCTCAATAGCTATATGCTATGGTAATATCTGGCTATTCGCTGGCATTTCCCTGACTACAAATTGAACGATATAGGATAGGGTAGCTTTTGCACTGTAACAAGCAATTCACGTTCTGTTACCATATAGGATCCTTCAATATTGCTACTACAATCTATGGATTGAATTAAGACATAAGATTTACGGGAACGTCTAATACAAATACGGTTTACTTTCATTATTAAATTGAAATAAATATTGGATAAGGGCTTAGGTTATGTATAGAATAATTTTGACTCTGTCTTTGTATAGATGGATAAATCGTATATTTTTACACGCTTGAATGAAGGACAATTTCCTCACAGCACTTTCTAATTTATTAGCTTACGATTTGTTTACTAGAATAATTCTTCCTGACGACAGAAAATGTTATTACAGTAAATAGAATTTTCCAGACAATTAAAACTCAATTTAAAACTCCATTGATCATATTCACTGTCTGGATTAATGAACTCATATAAAGATAGAGCCCTCTAGACTGCAGTTTAATCTACTCTATGAATTCAATGGTCATGTAGTCCATATTTAAATAAAATTAACTATACATTATCGATACATTGAGCTAAACACGGTTCCGATAATTGCATACCCTTGATAGCATTAATAGGAAAATTAGCGATATCGATGAATTTAAGTAGCCTATTTCTAATCATCTTGAGCCTCGATGGCATTAACGCTGTATAACAGGAAAACTGATTGCATACTCCAGTATCCCTAATGGGGTTTATTTTCAACATAAATGCAGTCTTGTAAGCGTTAAAATAATGATAAATTGGCATCATGCACTATGTATCTATCTTAAATTCATTTTCTTTCAGTAATTATGCAATCATGATTACGTAGAGATAAGAAGATTGAAAGTGCTCTGCTAACTATCATTTCTGGATTGTTTTCTAACCATCTTGCTACTTTAATTACGTTATAATGATGAGAAAGCTACTGCGTGTTACTGGAATATAAGCCTAAATTATGTCTATACTCGTATATGCACAAAGTAAAGTTCAGTGGTGTACATTGTATACAGAACGGTAACCGTACCATTTAAATTCATTTCGCCAGCATTAAATCTTGCCTTCGATAGCATCATTACGGCCTTACGACTAAGTCGCTCTATCTAAGCTGCTAATAATACAATAAATGTTTTTAAAGGATATATTAAAAATGATAAAAATTTGATCTTTTTTACCATTACCATAGAATCTCATTCCACCAATAGGTTTAGTTTTGCTTTGTATTCTCTTAATACTACCTTAAGATGCGATGATATGAGTATCGCTCGAGTATGGTTGAAAATTTTTAATCGTTATGACGACCGAAAAAATACCTATGCTGTACAAGCAGGCAAGAATGTCTAGCAAACAATTATAATTAAACCATTAGCGAATTAAAGTTCTAAAAAGGGATTGTATGGCAATGAATACTAGCAGCAACTTATTTTAAATCAGATGATACTATAATATTTTACAATATGTTGATTTTTCTATCATCGGATTATAATCTATTGTAATAAGGGAGTGTGGTTAAAATTCTAATTTTTATTCAAAAATTAATTAAGGTTACTTGGTCTAGACACGGTTACAAGAATATTCAATTATCAAAAGACGTACAGAATATTGCTTATATCGAGCTACCATCCCAAAAATTGACTACACAAATGCTTGTTTACATGGTAAGTTAAAAATGATCTAGTTCAAGACTTTAATATGACATTCCTTGCTGCCATACCTCTTGTGACACAATTAGCGTTTGGTACAATATTTCTTATCGTAACATTAGTCCTTAAGATGTTAAGAATTGTTTACTATATGATTATATCTCATATATAGCAAAAATAACTATTGATGAGGCAGATGATATTAAATTATGCATTGAAAGGATCAGATTTAAGGAGTAATTATTGATTTCATATGTACTAGTGCGAGATGCTAATCACTAACGGTGTGGCTGGTATTATAATCAATGTTGGAGATAACGAATATTTAACAAACGAGGTAGAATTTCTCCTAAATAATATAAAAGTCACCGCTATAATTAATTCTGTTTGCTGATGATAGTCTCATGGTTCATGATGAAGCCATTGAGCAGGGTATTATATGGACTAAAGTCCTTGGTATTATGTTTTAGATTCAAAATACAGCTAATCAGTTTAAAAAGCCGATCTTAATTGTCAAAGGATACCAAGGAAATGATTTATCGCTAATCTACAGCAAGCTGCAAGAAAAGTATGTCCGGTAAATTTAAGCTCTTCGTTATCCTTTCCCCTCTTGCTATTAATATGTATCAGCATCATTTACAATGTATGTGCCGGTATATCCGTCGTTGCTATAGTAGTACAAATAAAATTTCACTTCCACATTAATATTTGCCTGCGTCTCACTTATAACTTTTGCTAGGACAAAATCAATTCAAGTTAGCATTGATCGCGTCGAAAATCCTAAAACTGAAGTGGTATGTAATCATATGATCGATGATCTAATCTGTATACAGTGTTTAGATAGTACTTTATTGCTCTTGTCTACAGTACTCCATTGAACGTAGCTGTTTTGAATAAACTTTATTCTACTAATTTAAATTAAGTAGCCTCCAAAGTAATATTCTGAAGTAAAGATAATTTTATGTAATAGAACTTAGAAAAAATTGATAGTATTAACCTGGTATTAACTAACTCATCATTGCGTATTATATTTTCCCCTAATTCAGTATTTCAACCTAAACGGATTCATCGAAGTTTGTGTTTTATCTTCGTTCTTAATTATCTTCTTCATTTTTATGATGGGATTATTTATAAGAATGAAGTTACAAGCTAAGCGTTATGTAAGTTAATACAGAATAAATCGGTCATGCTTTAGATCTAGCTAATCAAGTAATTATAGATAAATCGCAACGAATTTATCTCCGAATATCTATTATTAAAAATGAGGACATTAATTTAATCGGAATTACACTATATTTTTTATGCAATAGTTCTATGAGCCCCAATTCTAGGCAATTAGTTCATGTTATTTTCTTGTATGTAGCTTCCTGCTTTGTTATACGCTAAAAATTTATCAGTGATAGCGGTATAATAGTTTTACTGGAAGTAAGGCTCAAGCATATCGATTTAATCAACTACTACACTTTATTTTTGTGCTAATGCGCGGTAGGGAAAAATTCGAAAATTAACAAATAAAGCGTTAAATACCATGAAAGTCTACAAATATGAATCTGCGTTGCTAGTTAAGTCTTCGCTACATTCTCTTCAAACATTAATTCGAAGCGATAATAGCGATTATTCTCATACCACTACAAGAGTAGCAGTTGATGAACCCACGTGTCCCATTTGCTTGGAAACATTTCTCTCAGGCGAGGTAAGTTGATTTATTCAAGGCCGTGAAGTACATACGCGTACATCATAGCTATGTTGATATGATACATATACGTATATCTAACTTGGGTTGTTATTAAAGTAAATATTAGTTATATAAAGGTATAAACGCTCATAAGAATATTATTGAAGTAATTATATCACACTAAATGAATATCTTCCAGATGCCATTCTAACTTATGCTTAATTAATTTAAATATTGTTAGCTTCACGATAGATTGAGGCTTTACAAGCGTTGTTAAATTAGTAATCATTAAGCTAAGGAGATACTCCATTTATAGCATGAAAATAGAATAATTTCTTTGTCTCACAAGTTATAGAGAGCTAGATCATAGACATCAGTGTAGAGTATTTATCACAGAAACTGTATTTTATACTAATAGGATATTCGAATTACACCTTGTCAACATGAATTCCATAAAAAATGCGTAGATCTATGGTTCGAAGAAAACTATACTTGTCCATTGTGTAAAAGCAATATTTTGGGTAAGTATACATAATTATCATCAACTAATGGTATAAGAAGTATTCAACGACTATTTTGGATTTTCTTTCAATCTGCATTAGGTTAATTTAATTCAATAAGATAATGGATTTGATACTTGTAAAATTTGTAACCCAAACATATCCGACATCATTCCATCGACCTATTTTGTAACTAAGCTATTTGCTTGCTATAAATCATTTACATATGAAGGTAATTTTAAAATATTTCAAATTTGCAGAAAAAGTTTTTAAGAAATTACAGATCGAGCGTACCACAAATGGAGTTCAAATTCACTATGGTGATATGGTCTATGTTTAAATGAAATAAATAAATACTCTAATAAATACAACAAAATAGAACTTAAGTAAAACTGTTATAGAAGCTTACGATTATGTACAAAAAGATTGACAACTATTATTATTATTAATTTTACTTTATTTATGCTAAACTAAGTGCAAACTTCGAAACCTATTTTGACAATCTCAGAGGTAATCCTTTCTGGCTATTATGGTATCAATGCAAATTGTACTTAATTTACTTTGTATTATGGTATATGATGCATAAGTAAGATTTTTCTCTAAATTTGGAGCTAGAGGCTGATTTTGTATATTAAATAGCCTATTAGAAATTTTAATGTAAATACATAACCGGTTTAATCGTACGATAATCATGAATTAAAGTATATGGCATTCTCCAGTTTAATACTGGGAAAGGTTATTAGATTACAGTTATGATAAATTATAACTAAACATTTATTTTAGATATTTATTAAAAGATATTACTGCTATCTCGCCTTATTATAAGCAAGTTGACTGACGTTAAAGTTATATATTAATAAAATAAATAAACAAACTGTAACACCTAAAAATACCGGATAGACTATAGGTTATCTAGCGCGACGTTAGAATCTAAATGCTGGTAAAGTAGTGTTGCGTTTAATACTTGTATCTTATGATCGCAGTATCGGATCCAGAGACATATGTGTAAGTACAGTAGTTAGAGCGTTGGTACAAGCTTAAAATAAGTCTTGCCCGTTGGTTACAATAATGGTAGTATTATAAAATATAAATTTAATAATTTTGGACATTAAAATGTATTTGAATAAAATAAGTCTTAAAATAGGGCATTTATGTTTATAGAAGATCCTTATGTATTTGCTAGTATACCAATACTTTACTGATACTAAATTTAGTAAAACTATTATTAGAGTATTTTGATATTATGGTTATGATTATATGTTTAATGTTTAGTCGCCGAACGTTGTTCTGGACAAGTCTTAGAAAAAGTAGGATAACATAGGAAAATCTGTTTACATATTTACTAGGGTGATGAACACTAAATTTAGAGTTAGAGATAGCAATAACAACATGTTTACGCTTAGATGTTTTCTATATAACCAGAGTTTCTGTTAAAATAAAGATAAATATTGATAACGACTTTAGTTCAAAACTTGACTTTGTGTCTTAAGTTAATTTTTGTTTTTCTTGTTGCTACTACTGAGTTGTGACACTCGTATAAGATGAAATAAAAATTAATTCATAGTTCGGTAATTAAGAGATGCAATATATATTAATCGCATGAGAAACGTGAAGATCTCGTCGCACAATTCTAATTCTAAATAATTAAGAAAGGACACCTGAAGCCTATAGCATATTATATAATAATTATTTATAATGTTTTAGTTGCAAAATCATTAGTTACTTTAATACTGTATATCAAGCTATAAAAAGGGCATATAACATGCATTTTGCAATAATAGTTGTATTATTATCAATGTGGAAGACTAAGTACGACAGAGAAAGTTAATTTTTAGAAACTACCGACATTTAAAGTCGCAATAGCATTTAAAGACTTATATTTTAAGCGTAAATCTGTAGATTCTGAGTTATTTCTACGGCATACGATATAGCCATTTGTTGATGCAATAAATCAGCACTTTTCATCAATTGCTGATATGTTACTATCTTACCAGTATTAATTATCGTCCTTTTTACTACCGTTAAGCATTATATGTAGAATCATAATTTAATTATGCTGTGTTATTACTCATATTCCAATATTTACCAACATAAAGTATAGTACGACAGGAAATCTGTTGCATCAGCGTAACCTATTTAGCAACAACAATTATAAATGACTTGAGTTTTATCGAAAATGACATTTACTCTTACAATCATCATAAATTGTAGAATGACAATGAATAATTATTTCTTAGCAAATTGAAATGGCAATAGGTAGAAGTGACTTAGTTCTGGAATGACAAATAGAAATTAACCAGATAAGCAGATATATATCTGCAATATAGTCAAAGTTATTGTAATATATTAAGAATTAGCAGCATAATTCTATTGTGCTTTCAGTAACATCCCTATAACAGTGTATTATTTTATTCTATAGATGTGAGGAAAGGTGTTAAACAAGCAAACTGTGTAAAAAAATATTGCTATTATTACTTGGTTAGCATTATATACCAAGTCTTCAATATTAGGAACAGTTAACAATGTGCATGTCATCAGAAATTAAAAAAATTATAGATATTCTATCCTTCATTTTAATAAAAGAAACATATCTTCTGAGTAAGTCATTACGAGTAGTATTATTGAGACAGTAATTGAGAATAACAATAATTTTATGATTGTTCATTGAAAATAGCCAAACGATCATATCATGGTTATGAACATGTTGACCTTTTGCGCATAATTATTACAGTAAGTTTTCGTATATTTATTTACATACTCAAGAACTGGAATAATAATAGTTTATAAAACAATGTAAGAAGTCAATATAATATATAGTAACATATATATATATTATATACGTATAAGTTAAGATTGAAAAGACAAAAGTGAGAACTTATCTTCTAGTATGCATAATAGTGTTACGGTACTAACGAGGTTTAATACGGTAAAAGATAGCGCAATGCCTTATCTCATTGCCTTCAAAACGTATTAGATGACATAAACATGTTTCATAAATGATTTTATAATCTAGTAATATACGTTATGCTTTTATAATATCCAAAATATGAGCATTAAAAACGATTTAAGCAATAAATTGTATTCCATAACATTTACGATATATATATATATACTGTACTGCAGACTAAATTAGCCTTATACTTGTATGTATAACATTTTAAAGCGGGTGTGAAGGTAATTCTTAAGTGATGATAATGCACTGAATATGATATGTTACGGTAATATATACAAAGGATATTATTATCATTATTGATAGATTCACTTTATATATATATATACATATTATAGGCCAGTCTATATATATATATATAGCTATTTTGCAAATTGCCTAGAAGCACGATCAGATAAAGTATATAATAAACGTTAGCAGTCATTACCATAGGCAAATAAGGCTTTGAACAGCACCAGTATTAAGCAAGAGTTAGTAAGGTTAACAATATTAATAAATTATTTTAAGCCTGAAGACACACGTTTAGTGTATGCCATTACTTCTTCATGCTTCTGGTCTTTTTAAGCAATACTTTTTGTTGCGATACCGAAGAATTTTTTGACCCAGTTTCCATCTTACTAACATGTATTGCACCTTCTAATTTCGATGGCATGGAATATCGTCTAGGGCATTCTTGTTCTTCGCCAGTTTTGAGAGTGTTGATATCTACACTTGGTCTTAGTATTACACGAGAGTGGCGAGGGGTTGGTGATACTGATGCTCCCTGATTTCCACCCATACCTTTTATTGACATTGGTAAATTTATATTCGGATCTGAACCTGACCTATGAGGGTGCTCTTTAACCGAATGCGATGTCAAAGATTTCTCCGATTTAGTATCCGTAACTTTAGGAAGTCCGATGCTGTTGGATTCACTGCCATTTACTTTACGCACTAAAGATTTACCTTTAGTCGCATTTAATGCAGCTCTGATAATAGTTTTATTTTGTGCATTTATTGATAAAGTATCTAAAACAGATGTCGTGTAGCTCTTTGGTCGAGGCTTATTACTTAAGATATGTTGCCGAAGTGATAACGATTTCGTTCCAGGCGACAATTCTGTGGGTGCATCTTGACTGCTAGTTGAGCGTGAGTTTGAACGAAGAGGATATCCCATCACTATTGGTTTAAGTGATGGCGATGATGCGCCACTATTATTCGATCCTTTCGTATTAATACTATCAATTTTGCCTAAATTGTTGGATAATTGTTCAGAGCTGTCTTTAGAATATAAAGTACTCTGCTTTCCTTCATTATTTTTCTCCGATGGAATATTAACTTCTGATTTTGTAGCTATTGAATCAGTTTTGTTATCTATGTTTTCGTAAGTATCTGTATGATCATCTGAGGTAGTTAAATTAACTGCATTTTCGATTGGTAAAGTAGTTTCTTTAACTTTAGAGGTTTTTCGAGGAAAAAACGACACAATAACTGAAATATTATCGCTAGAACCCTTATCAACCGCTTTTTCGACAATTAATTCAGGTACGTTTTCTTTTTTTCCATCAGCTTCATTAAGATAATTAGTTATGATTTCTACGGTTTCATCGGGAGTTAGAACGTCCCATAGGCCGTCGCAAGCAAGTAAAATGAAATCTTCGTTCCCATCAAGATTAACTTCATTGGTATCAGGTGTACCGCTTACATATGGCTTGTAATCGGCATCGCCAATTGCTCGAGACACGGAGAGCGTCCCGTTGACTCGCCATGCGCCAAACCAAACTACACATCCTCCTAAAGCTTCAATACGAGCCTTTTCATCCTAGTTCCGATATTGATCAAGAAGATAACTTAATGACAAGTAGCGTTTAATTTCCTAGAAACACCTTAAAATCAAAGAAATTACAGCCAACCTCGCGTTCAGGTTTATGAGGATTCATTAAAACGACAGCTTTTCCACCTCTACTAAGGATCACTTGTGAATCTCCAAGCCAAGAAATATATAATTTATCCGCTGTTACAATAGTTGCAACAGCAGTGGTACCACTATGTAGGTTCTAAGACAATAATTAAATGATATCATTAGTTATATGTTAAGTAGTTGATAAACGTTCTATTGTAAATGCATTTCATTAGAGGTTTACAACTGCTCATTTGACATGTTGATATCATTACATTTCATTAGCACATACCTCTTGCTTTGATTTAATACCAAATTGTTCATCGGTCTTTTCAAAGCTCTCTATTAATGCTTCTTGAATGTTATCCTTTGAGCATAAACTATGAGCCATAATAGTATGCAAATGGACAAAGGCATAACTGGATGCGTCCGTGCCTCCATGGCCATCATAGACACCATAAAATGATAAACTGGGTGTATCCTTTAATTCATTCAGAAACAATAATTAAATGTTAATCATATCATGATATAAATTGAAGTAATATAACTTCTTTAAATTAGGTAATAACTACATCTCTTTATTCTTGAACTTTTTTACATTTTTTACAATACATGCAACATGGAATGCTCGTATAATAATTAAGTCTAACCTTTAAACCATATAAAGTATTAAATTGATTGACGATTGTATGTTTATCTTCCATTTTTTTTCTTCTATTTCTTATTGCCTTGGAATAGGTTTCCATTTCAAATGATGACTTGTATAAAATAGGCATATCTTGATGCCAGCGATGGCAATACTGGTTGACGACATTAAGTAGATGACAGGCAACATTTCTACCTAGTAGATCTATCAAGTAATAGCTTTAATCTCACGTTAAAGATGATACTGCACTACTATAGTAGGATAGCAAAATTAATTAAAAACATTCTAAAGTAATATAACTATATGGTATAGAAAATCTGAGCAACTTACGACGTTCGTCTTCGTTCATTGGGCTATCGGAGTCATCTTCTATTGCCGTTTTTTCTCGAAAAATAGACAGATCTATGGCTAGCATTTCATCTGTAGCATGCCTTGCTATACTGCATTGAAGGATTTCTGGTGCTGAACTAGGAATAAGTAAGACGAACATTAGTGGCTGTTGGACTTAGAGTGGAAGCGATTTTCACCAAACTTATAATGAATATAAGCACAGTACGGACATGTACTGCTAGAAGCAGCTGTATCTATTATATCTAGAAGTTTATGATACTGACTGCCTGATTAAATAGATGTTGCCTCAATGTGTATATAATAATGATTATAATTATATCTTATTTTTCATAATGGTGCATAAAAGCGTCGAGTTTTCATAAAATTTATTACCGATCGTACCATATAAACATCATAGCTGTATAATTTGATTTTTCTTGCGTTTTTAGAAGCAAAGAACAAATAAGAGTTTACGCAGTACGAAATGCTAGTTTTTAATAAGCGGCATACTCATAGGGTGACGCCGCTTCACAATAAAAGTGTAAATAAATTGATCAGTACAGTAGTAAGATACGATATCTGATTGACAAGGACGTCATGTGTAATTCCTTACTGGTGGAGCTATTTATCCGAAAGCTAATTAGCAATGAGCATTTACTGTATCGGCGAATGATCGTTTACATAAACTATTTGCTGGTTTATAGTATATCCTTGATATCGATTCGATCGAAAGATTGATTTAATATCACTTAACCCTGAATTAATCATACTCTGAAAAATTTCACGGCAACAAAATGCTGAAATCATCACCGTTGCTAGGCTTAATATTATTTTAATGATTTCGTAGTTAAAATTTTAAACTAAGGTATCGGTTTAACGTTACGAATTAGTAGCGATTAACATTGCAGTACGAATGGTCGTATGGTTATACTGTACAGTACGTAGATAATTTTTAGCATTGACTGTGGAGTGTTTACGTGATTAATTATTGTAATAACAATTGATTCATTAAAATTAGTAATTATTATAATAATTATGATTTCACGTTTATACTCACTACGAAAGTTTATAACGAATAAGTAGTTAGATAACAAGCATAAATAACCTCCATATTTTAGTACTGTATTAGAAATAATAAAAAAGAGCACTTTTTTCCTTCAAGCCTGCTTTGTTAGCATAGCAACTTCGTAAAAATTCTCTTCTAGTGGTGCATATGTAGCGTTAGTATTATAGAACGTGATGAGATCACTCTTCAGGCGTCTAATATTTTCGAAGTAGATCAATTCTGAAAATAACTTCCATAATTTGGCTTCAAATAACGCAATGTCATCATGTTTTAGAACGCGCGTGAGAAATTGTACAGTTAATTTTTTAACTTCCCTTCTGAAAATTTAAATGCCATACGCCGCTATATATCAGTACAGTACTCCACACAACAGGGTTGTACTATATCGACGGAATGCATTAATTTATACGACGTACTTTCCGGTAGTCAAGCATTTAATTGGATTTACAACTCGTGAGTGATAAAAACAAGTTTTTAGCGTCACAAATCTATAATTTGCTTTAAATATAAGACAGTAGCGTAGGAGAAAGTAGCTAGGAAACAATGTATTACATGCAACTACACAGACAATCAATTATAGCGAGATAAAAAACAAAAGCTTGTGGGAAGGCAGTCTTACAAATGCCATAAATCAGTTTACAATATAACAATAATAATAAATACACTATTGACTACACCATAGTTGATACAAGTAGATGCGGGGATTTGCCAAGTGATAAATGTGTTTGTTATGCTTCGTTGAGAAGATAATTTTTCGTTTCATTGAGCGTTGCTAAAATATGATGGCATCGCAGTCGCGATTAAAATTATTTTCTCTTCTTCTTCGTGGGTTACTTGAGCATGATTTGAAAATGGAACGTTTTCTATGCTTAATCTCAATCTGATAGCTAAGATGACACATAATTTGTGTTTTACAATAATACTCATATTACTACATCTTAATTGGGATAATCAATCAGGAGATACTAATTACAAGTGGGGTTTGTCAACATATTCAACTATTGTTGTACAGTGGGTGAGGGGAAGCATTATCGGTTATCACGTAATCAATAGTTCATTTTTACAATTTGTGCGATTATAGAATGAGTCACTATATTCTATGGTCAGCCATACAAAATTAAATTGATGAAATTTTACAGTTACAATTCATTTTTTGGTAAACTTGTCATTAGAGAGTACAATTAGAGGCAGTGAGCTGTTAACAAAGTAGTTTGATACTGTAGCAACACCATTAATGGATGATAATCAAAATCATTTAAGATTGTATCAACAACACAGGTACTTAGTTACATGGACGGATCTACTGAACAATGACACTAATTCGTTAATGAATAGTCTAATATACTTAGTAAGTACCACTACATCCTACCGACATCAGCTCGTTACAGACTGATACGTATAACTAAATGTAAGTTATGGACAAATCATTATAACATCAGTTAATAACCAAGTGATAACTATCTATAATGTAAATGAATGATTAACGCAACATTGTTGTAAAAAAGTATATACAGTACAATAATTTAAGCTAAATTTGCTTAAATCCTAACTTTAATACTGTTTTACATATTGTTGTATTGAATAATAATTATTATTAATAATGCTTAACTAAAGATAAATCATCAGCTGTTAATCATAATAGAGTAATGTGCATTTGATGAAGATGCATTCAATCTTGATGAGTATGCTATAAGAAATGACTCAACGCCGCCTTTACGATCGTATTATCCATGTACGTTACGCTATAAGAAGGAGTAACTAATGTTATCATTTTCGATACGATTTGTCTCAGCCTTCATCTTGGCTTCAAGAAATTAGCATGATTTGACATCAAAAACGAACATACAGTAGTATCTCAATCAGGGACTACCCCCTGATACCCACAATAGAGTTTAAATTTATCCAAACAGAGTGAACATAACACGGAACTACGAAATTAAAATTCAAGGATAAGCTATACATTAAGAGAAATTTCTAGGATATATCATACCATGTGCTCAAATAGCGCCTGGACCAGTCAATACAGCAGCCTTCAACTTCTTTATCCACTAAATAGTAACAGCCGACCGAAATAGGTAATGAACTGTCTTCGTTAAATTCTGTAACAGGATGCTCAGCTACAAAAGAGGTTAAAAATTCTTTCATAACAGCTACAGAATCAGCATCCAATGCTAATGGATAGCCAGGGCGATCTTTATCATTTGGCATATTGACGATTTTTGAATCCAAACTAAGATTAATTGACCAGGTATTTTCTGAAAATGACAAGTAATCATAAGAAAAAAAAATAGCTAAGAAAATTGCAGTCGACTCAACATAATCTTATATAACCGTACGGTATTATAATAAACTAAACGAAACTAAAGCACAGTACTGTACTGTACTGTACTGTACGTTGAGTTTTCCAACCAAGTCTCTCGAATGACCGCACAGTACTGTACTGTAGACAGTACAGCACTCACTATAACTGCACAGTCTACAGTGTACAGTACAGTACGGTACTGTACTGTACTGTATCGATTTCTGTCATAGAGATAAAAAGCAATAAAAAAATAAAAAAAGAATCTCTATGGTTTCCGCCAGTGGCTTACTCAGCTCGAAATTCTCCCTGACAAGCCGTAACTAAACAATTCTTCCCCTATACTAAAAATACACGGAATTGCCATACGTTTTATGCATTTACTGCACTAATCACTGTGGGATTATTATATTAGGCTTCCACATTGTTGGTACGATAGATTCGTTGCCAGTCCCGCATATTTTTAGTATAGCATAGGGGAAAAATTTTTTAGTTACGGCTTGTCAGGGAGAATTTTTAATTTGAGTAGTCCCTTAGTTTCTGCATTGACACTCCATTTGACAGTATACACTGTACGTGCAATGTGTGCTTCAGTTTTAACGACAAAAAAGGATAAAGTTGCATTTGCGTTACTATGCAAGTGCTATGCTGCCTGTGCATGAAACAAGCCAAAGCATATTACACTTTTTAGCATAAACTCTTAATAATTGCCCATAATTCATGAGCTAACGACTTAACGAACTCAATCCTGATTCTAGAAATTAAAAATTACGGTCACTCCGTATTAACTGACACGCTAAATGTTCACAGGACGAAAAGGTCCAACGCCCCTTCTTCTGTACAGTACTGTGTACTGTACACTGTACTGTACTGTACAGTACGGTATACTGTACTGTACATACTGTACAGTACAGTAGTTGGTGCGGCGTTGTTTTCACTCATTGTTTTGCACTTTACGCGTACTGTACTGTACTGTACTGTACTGTACAGTACAGTATTGTGGAGACCCTAATAGAGAGTCTCTAGTGCACAGTACTGTAGGCTACAGACTATGGGCTCGTGGACAAAAGGATCGCATTCGACTTAGGTGCAAAGTCCACCCGAAACCCGAGTCGAAGGCGGGATTCGGGTTAAGAATTTCTGTGGTGATACAGTACAGTACAGTGTTTGTATGGCGATTGCACTCATTTCGAGTTAGGACATCAACAATTTGATCGGGTTCGGTTGCCTTTTCACTTTATTGCACAAAACTGCATCCGAGTCAAAAATTGCTAGACTGTACAGTGTACAGCGTCTTTCAGGGCAAAATCCAACGTTAGCGTATGGCGTACTGTATCTTAAATAAAAGCAGTAGACATCATAATACTGTATTTGCTAAGTTTTACAGGTAGTGCATTGTCCATTTGTATCTGTATTTATAATTTTGGGGACACGATAGTAGTAATCAATCATATCATGCGTATACAGAATACCCGTGTGTCATATAAATGCCTTACAATACTGATTTAGGGAAAGGCAATTCACTGCTATACATTTTAGTGAAAACAGCATAGTCATAATTGCTATTACATCTACTGTATTACTAATATCTACTGTACAGTGTACAGGTTACTATCACAAAGCCCTTCAGCATTTTAAAGACAGTAATCACTTCTTAACGCGTATCAAACGCCCCCTTTCAAGTAGTTTCGAAATTTTTTCTATTGAATCAAACGATGAGCTCCTGCGATACTTTTTAGCCCCTCCTTAAGCACATCATGATCTAAATACCTTCTGACGCTTCATGATTTATGGTTGCTTTTTTAAGGAATAAGTTTTAGTACCGAAATTACTATGCACATACAGGAGGAATCCGATTAAGTGTAAAGTATTTATACTCCATGTATCCTGGATCTTTACATACACTACAAGTGATAGTCTTCAAATACATTTTATCAGTTAGAAAACCATCTCGAAACAGATACTAATCCGGTATTTAATAGTAATTCAAGGATAATTAATTGCTTGAGTTTGAACTGCAGTAATACAGTAATACGATATATAGTTCATAACTTACAAATACAATCCCAGCCACGTAAGTAGGTAGTACGTAGCTGCTATAACTACGTTTTATGAATTAACAGTTGGCAAACATATTAAGGAAGTTATGATTAGAAACCAATAACGAAAACAAAATGCAATATTTTACTAACATACATTATTCGATAATGGTTAATTATACTACCTCCGATAACAGCAATTTAATTTAAAATTGAAACATTATTTCAACTAAAATATAAATATCCTATTAAGTATGCGCAGCGTATATATCACCTACAGAGTATTTGTAAAATCATTTTACAGGACAACCGAATGATTTACTAACACGTTACATAAACTATCATTTGTTATCTATGCAACTTGCGCTCCGGGAATCTTGCTAATAGCCTATATGATCACAATTTGAAAGTTAGGATCAATAAGTTTCGGTATTAAATTATCATCGGATAAGCGCTAGTTTCGAAGTAAATAAATGACTTTAGCACCCACCTTCGAAATATCTACTCCTGTCAATGCTTGAACAGCTGGAGGCAGTTGTCCAACTAGTTTCGTTATTTCGCCTGTAAGACCTTCTCCATTCCCACTTAGCATAACGATATCCTCCGTTTTGGATAAAGGAGCAGTAATTTCTGCCGCAATCTGAAATAATTGAGGTTGAAAAGATGTTATCTCTAGTTTAATTTGCAAAAATTAGGAAATAAAACGTTTAAAATCGCCAGACTATAATATGTCCAGCTTCTATTCGCTCGTTTCTTATATCATTTAGATGAAATAGTCGGTCTATAACTACTATACCTTTGGTAATGCATCAAGAACCAAGCTGACCAAAGCAGCATCTCCATATTGTTTATATGCAGCAGCTTTTTGTCTCATTCTTTCAGCTTCAGCTTTACCGATTGCCTCAATAGCACTAGCTTCAGCTGAACCAACAGCCTATGCGAGTAAAATGTTAACAGTTAGATGATAATTTTGGAGATAAACTCAAAGATATCCCCACTGAACTTGTTTACTATTTATAGTTACTACGAGCAATTATAACTTCTAATACACTGAACGAATTCGTAGTTCATTGAAAGATACACCCGTCAATCCACAGTACCTTAATCTTCATAGCTTCAGCTTGGGCCCTGGCAACAGTCTCAGCACTAAAAAAATTGTATCGGTATCAGTAATAAGAACTTTTATAGCGTACCATATTATGCCAGGCAATATAGAGATTAATAGTCTAATTAACATCAACAACGAAAACTATTTCTCTGTACATGAACAAAGTAAGCGAAAGCTTTGGAAATTTTGATCTTACCGACGACCTTCAGCTAAAGTTTCTACTTTGAAACTCTCCGCTTCAGCTGGTCTCTTTACTGTGGCGATAAGCTCTTTGTCCTTACGAAGGATTTCTTTTTCTTCAATGTCAATTTCCTTCCTTCTCTCAACAACTTCAATTTGAATTTCTTCGCTGCGAATCTTTTGTTTAATCTTTGCAGCCTACATAATAGTTGTTAAATATTACTGAGAATGATGTCAACACTGATAATAAAGGTCTAATATCAGAATCAATAACTAGAATCGACACATAAAATGCTCATTTATATATTTCGATGAGATGTAATTTCAAGATACGCGCCAAAAGATATCAGTTTATTAGTTTTAACGTTAATCTTAGTAGATTGTACCTGCAATTCATAGGATAATTCAGCCTCTGCCCGCTAAATATTTATGATAAGGATATAATATTTTTTAGACCTGTAATCATAAAATTCATATTGCCATTCGCGTATGTAATGAATACGAAAACTTACAACACGATTCACTTCTTGATCAAATGCGGCCTTAGCCATTTCAAATTCGCGACGAGAATCTGCAATGCTGGTATCAGCTGTATATCTGACATCCAATCGTGCCCTTTCCGCTTCAGCTCTCTGTAATATAGTACATATATTATGAAAACAATAGTTTCAGATCGCAAAATTTTAAATCCTTCATTCTGGTAGATTTAACTAATATCTTTACTCAGTTCGTATATAATGAATTCTTGTCATCTTTTTTGGTTATTCTATGACACGAGCTGATTTATTGTTATAGTTATTTGCAATTACGATCTTACTCTTATGCCAGCGTCACGATTCGCTTCAGCAACTCCAATGTCAGCATCGCGCTTGACAACGGCTGTTTGTGCTTTTCCAAGTGAATTCAAGTACTCTACTTTATCCATAATATCTTTAATAGTGAAGCTTAGAATTTCGATACCCATTTTTCCAACATCAGGAGAAGCTACCTCACGCACGAGTGCAGCAAATCGATCACGATCTTTGTAGACTTCTTCAACAGTCAGTGTGCCTATCCCAGAATATAAATAAATACGTGTGACTGCTGCAGTAAATTTCTTATCTCCCATAGTACTATTCTAATGAAACATATCCTATCCCAAATCCTCTGACGAAATATAGCAAATTATAATTTATCGTGACATAGTAATACCGACTGTATTTATCACAAGTAGTCAATCATCATAGTCATTACCTAAGATTGCTCTTAAATGACCTTCCAATGTTTGCAAGATAATGCCTTCAATTTCATGTGTAGATCTACCAAGAAACTGTTCGCAAGCAGTTGCTAGCAGATCACCGGTCATAATTTTACACTGTGTCACCGCTGTCACAGTTAGAGCCACACCTTCGGCAGTTTCGACGCTATCGCAATGAGGATTCAATGTCATGACGTTTAAAGCAATCCTAGCAAAATTTCAAATAATTTTAATTCTTAATTAAAGTAGTAATTGTGGAATAGAGATATCACCTCGATAATGCAATATAGCTTTGAGGATCATGAGCAAAAATGGGTATACATTAATCATTATTAGATGGATTTTAACTGATGCCATACCATCTTTGGACCGATACATTATTACAGTTAGAGTATTGACTTTAGCTAAACAAAATCGCATAATTTCCTGCAAGACATCTCGTAATAAATGACTTATTTGTTGGCCAGGATTAAAAGATACTGCAATTCGTGGTCAATAAGCGAAATAGTTTGGATGATGGTAATAAAATTGCCACGTTTAGTAAATAATAATATATGCAGTGCTGCAGGATAAACTCAATTATACTTTCCAAAATCTAATCCATGGGCTTGAGTAAATTTTTTGTAGATACAGTAAATTTAATGGCAAATAAAATAGTGATTCAGCCTGGTTTCAGATCATAACAATCTTTATACATGATTACATTCAAAACAATATAACCCATTCACTGGCATATAAAAGTAAGAAATAATAGATAAAATACGTTGTTATCATTTCAATAGTTACAAAGTTACTCGTATTTATTTAGCTTTCACGTAGGGATCTATAATTACAATTAACAGATATAATGTACGATATTGTAGAAACTATTCAACATTGATCCAGTACTATTACCAGAGTAGCATTATACCTTTGTACGTCAGTAATACCACACCAAGCCCATGCCCAGCCGCCATGGATATATCGCTTTTCACCAGAGCCACAACAAGCACCTGTCAAAGTTAATTTGAAATGTTATCACGATCGAATTAAAGATTACTCATTTTACCGAAATTGTAATCATTCACAGCTTATCAATTACACGATACTAACTATTGAATTACTGTATTCAAGATGTTAATAGCTAGAATCTTTATTAGATGTTTGCTGTACTGTATATCCAAGCAGTAGTCACCGTACTGTACAACATGCACAATTATTGCAAATATACTGTAAATTTGAAGTATTGTTGGAGCTGTTTCCAATAGTGATTACTCGTGAGTACTCCCCAATTCTGTTCTTTTGTAGAGCGATAGGAAAAGATTGACATAATATTATAGATCCAACATTTTACTCATACGTTTTCCTTTTATCTTACGATTTCACCTTCAAAGCAATTTCGGGAAGGTCACGTACTGTATACTATAGTAGTCCGTGACATAGAGCTTCAGTATAGTATAGTATAGTATTGTAAACATTACAAGTATAGCGTCATTTATCCCTCGAAAGTTAGGCTAAAGGCGTAGTATTGATTACACTCAGTTAAAAATGAGGAAAATGATCTTTATTCCTATTCAGATTGTCCTTATCATTTAAAATAGTACTGCTGCATCTTGTGCCGAATACGATGTCCACGAATAGTACTGTACGTCAATTAGGATAAAGCACTTGATAAAGCACATGACGAAAATCGACATTAACTTTATATCTCTGACTTGATTTAAGACAAGTTGAGATTTATAAAAAAATATTCTCGGTTACCGCGCATAGAAAATTACTGCTGTGGTCAGTTTTAGTGAATGCGCGCATTTATCGTGGTGATAATTTATCTATGTGCATATGGAAGGATCGAAATTGAATACCGCATAACTATAATCCATCGGACATTGTCAATGATATGGCGAGTGATATTCAGTTTGATAAGCGTTGTAACTTATAGTAACACGGCAGTAGAAAAAATCACCAAGGCGGCGTAACCATAAATAATAAAGGATGAGCAAGTTTATGGATGAACTGTAGATATAGTCTATGCTACATGGTAATATCATCAAGTATTCAGCTTCTCAGAATCAAGAGCAGCTTCAGTCTCTGGATAGCATATGCAAAATACACCGGTACAGTATTTACAAGTAGCTCATGACTAAAGAGAAGTTCAGTTAGAGTGATCACTACTTCTTATACAATAAGTAATTCATAACTGCATCACGCAACGCGCAAGTAGACTAGCAATGACAGACTCGGGAACTGTAATAATTACTGTAAAAAAGATATACATTACCTACGTTAATCTGAAAGACGCTCGTATGCTTACATAACTCATGTAGGGAGATGTCAGTCTATAATACTGCCAATACTGTACAACTGTATAATACAGCGCAGTCACGGGAGGATGATCAATGTCGTTAATTTATCAAAAGATGTCAAAATTTTGTAATAACATGTAGAAATGTGTTACTTATCTTAACCATCTCAACATGCTTTAAAAATTTTGGACTCTATTCTAATATTCTCTAAGCTTGCAGTCTGCTCACTGTCAGTAATGGTACGCACTTGAACTTTGACGATATTATCCGCAAATGATCATATCGTAGCGCAGTGGAGATATATGCAGCAGAGATCTCATCTCTACACTACAGTACACTGAGTGTACAGTAAACATGTTCGCGAATCTTGCACTTAACTAAACTAAGGGAAGGGCTTGCCTAAATCTACTTCCAATATTGACGCATAACAGACTCTAAAATTTACAGTAGATTCATGGCATTGATGCCTCCATAAACGAATTATCTCGTACAGTAGAAAGGGCTTAACTTTAAAATGTTTTGCAGATCAAGTGTATTGAAAGATAAACTGGACACGTTTTTGATGTTAATACTAAAATCAGGACACATATTTTACAGGCCGTCAATCGACAATATTTAACATAAGAAATTCTGAAAGCTTCATTTCCTAGGCTAATACTCGTATTAGTTGTTTGAGTACTAACACAAATTTTTGACACACGGCTACACCGCATTCACTACGAAAATACGGTCAGTTGATTTCATAAGTAAGTACGGGCGATCATGATGCAGTAGTGTGTAAGTGTTGCAAAACACGAAAATGGGCTGGTTTATTGTAATCGCAATTATTAAGTTGTATAAGGTGTATCTATGTCAATGTACTGCACAGTCTTTACACCAACTTTTCCAGCACAACTGGCCACAAGCTATCATTAACGATTTGCCGAATAGTTGTACTGGGCGAGATTAATCACTGTGTAGACTACAGTATCACGGTGAGTAAAAAACCTTCTTACATTGGAAAAAGAAGAAAAAATGAAAATTATTATACTAAAATAATCAGAATAGTATGCATTACTTACCAGATACAACTAGCGCTTCGTTAGGTCCGACAGTATGACAATTTCCCATTTTCTTTCAACTTAATGATGCTACGACTTCTCTTCACTTCGTTCTCACAGATTCCGGATTCGCACTACGTGAAAAGAAGTACTACTGCAAAATTCTTCTCTGTGCATCAGATATACATATACGCGTGCAATATACAGTACAGTAAACGTGACATATACAATAATGTTCACCAAGTCAAGTACGTTGCGGGATACAGTATGATATACTGTACTGTATCATATCCTATACAGTACAGTAACAATACTATACTGTACATAAACAAAAAAGGTGGTAAACTCGAACTCACATGCAAACTACTGTGCTGTACAAGGTACACCTTGATTAATGCGCTTGCCCGCATGATAGACACGTACACTCGTACAGTACAGCAGAACTTCTTTTGTGCTGTTTTAACAGTACTGTACATTATACATGTACAGTACTGTACAATATGCTGTAATCGTGCTAACTTTTCAGATCGAAAGGGAACGCCCAGGGTTGGGTCCGACAGTTGCCTATTGTACTGTACAGTGTACAGTGTACCGTACGATACAACATGTACTGTAACACATGGTACTGTACTGTACTGCGCTGCAGCGTTGTTGATGATACAGTACAGTCCTGGACTGTACAGCATGTTTAACCTTAACGTTATACTGTACAGTATTGTACAGTACTGTACAGTGAGTGTACACTACCTTAGGCTTTACAGTACTGTAGAATGACCAGAAAAGTAAGCGTCCATATTTACATATTGTACAGCGTGACCAAAAATTATCCCGGCGCAAAAAAAAATGAATATAATATAATTATTTATTAGTCAACAACCGCTGGCAGTCCCGTTTCTTTCTTCTTTTAGTAGTCCCTGCTATGATCATCATTAACTCCAGGATAATTTTATTATACTGTATTGAATATACAACTTTCGTAATCGTACGTAATGATACGCAACTGAGTCTTTACTACTGACGGAATACTGCAATGCTGTATGCGGTCAGGGACTACTAAAGCAAAGAAAGATCGACGTAAAGTGGCCGTCAGTGCAAAATAATGCGGAGGCCTATCATTTTTCCGTCGAATTCTACTATACTGTACTGTATGGTACCAATAGCACCGTGTATCGTACTGCACAAAACCAAGTTAGTATCGCGTTAGCAGCGGGATATCAATCGCAGGCAGGATTTTTTTTTGTACCGTCCACTCGTTCCCATCATGTCTGTTCGTTGCTAGGGACCCGTGTAGCTATGACGACAAAGCTATTAGGTATCATACATAGCATACTGTACAGTACAGTACAGTACTGTAGGGCGTCTTTAATTTCGTTTTAGATACTGTACGGTACTTTACAGTAGCTAGGAAAATTATAACTAAAACTTACGAGCTAATGCAGTAGTTTATACCGACATAATCTTTTGAGTTAACGTACAGTATATATAGAAATTGTTATATATAGATAGCAATACATGTTATTTATACTTTTATTAAAATATCTTATACGAAAATAATATTGCTGTACAGTATTGTATTTTATTTATTTTGGGGTTAATTTGGATATAATTTAAGATAGTGTATTCACATTAGTGTACATGTAACGTATACTGTAGCTACAGTAATCAGCAGAGTACGATAATTAATAATAGATTCGAAAAAGTACAAATGAAGGTCCCTGATGTGAACGTATTACCGGGGATTATATCGCAACAGAGAGGAGTAGATTAGAGAAAGGGATTAGAGAATGTAGACAGACGACTACGGTAGAAAAGGGGTAGCATTTTTACTTGAGTAGTTCCTGGTATTGCAGTTACTTTATAATTATAATTAGCCAAATTTTTATTATTCAAAGTATTTAAAGTACAGGGAAAGTAATACCATAGGCTACTAGAACTCCTGAAGATTAGATCTATACTGTAAGTTGGTAATATACAGATTGCCCGGGCAATGTATAGATCAAACAGATGTAATATTTTACCAGTATCAGTATATTACGATAGTGAAAAGTCATAGCATTACGTACCGGTATGACTTTAGAATCATAGATACTGCTCCTGTATTAAATCGGACTGGAACTAGTTATCAGGGAATAGCTACAAAGTTGAAAAGTTTGCAGCAATACATTATCGATAATGTTGTACAGATTCCGAAACATCTTCTTACGAATTAAGTGATTTATAGAATATTTTCTAGAGATATTGATTTTACTATTCTCTATGATACTTGGAATAGGTGGCCAATATTAGCCAAGCACCAGTTATAATTTATCACATTGGCGTACCGTACGTATACGCGTACAGGTATACTGATGGATATACCCGCACAGGCATTTTCTAATATCGGTCTTCCCTTATGTTTATATTTTACTCGCCGCATTATTTCGTACCGTATAATGCCTGAAATTAATGTGGCTTCATATGCAATTTGCATGTATTGAATTAACCGAGCGGTTAATATTTATATTTAAATTTATAGTAACTTATGGGTATATGATTAAATATATATTATTAACTTGCACAAGAACCGAAATTGCACTGTGAATAATCGCATATACTGCGATGAAATGATAGCGCTCAAATTACGATAGAAAACTTCGTAAAATGTATTTAATACTTCGTAGTTATAGTAAACAACTGAACCAATAATTGTCTGGTCGTTACATTATTTGAGCTCCAGGGATCTTGGCTACGGCCTATAATTTAAAGTGAAACTTACTAGTTATAGTCATATAAAGAGCCGATTTCTAGGCTCTAATTTTCAAAGCACATAGTTAGTAATCATCAATACCTTTGAAATATTGACTCCAGTTAGTGCCTGCACAGCTGGCGGTAATTGTCCTACCAAGTTAGTTATTTCGTTTCTAATACTACCGTCTTTTCCGCCTAAAATAACGATGTCTTCTGTCTTTGATAGAGGAGCAGTGATTTCTGCTGCAATCTGATATAATTATATTTAATAATAAAAACATATACATAGTTTAGTGATGATTGATATGGTCTAAAATTAATCAAGATCATACTAAAAGCCGCACGGTACGGGAATATTAGATATTGAATTGCTATCGAACCATCATTTCACGCAATCTGTATTGCTTGTGCATTACCGTTGGTAGTGCCTCAAGAACCAAACTAACTAAAGCAGCATCTCCATACTTTTTATATGCTGCGGCTTTCTGTCTCATTCTTTCAGCTTCAGCTTTGCCGATTGCTTCAATGGCAGTAGCTTCCGCTGAACCTATGGCCTGTAGTAGTCGTGATACTATTTTATAGTAGTGATTATGGATACATAGGCGTAGAGATTACAAGCTAGATGTGTAGTAACAACATTTTTCGTGTGCCAAAATAAGATAACAGTATTAAAATGAAATCGCACGATTTACCTTAATCTTCATAGCTTCTGCTTGAGCTATAGCCACAGTCTCTGCACTAATATAATATTTTGTTTAATAATTAAATTAAGTGTCTTAGTATTCAATTATAAAACATTTTGCATAGAGCGTATTTAGGTCTATAGCTTAGAATCACTATCATATAGAAGATATAAAAATATTTTATTAAGTAAATACTATCATTAAGGTTGACAGTATAGACAGTACCGACGGCCTTCTGCAATTGTTTCTACTTTAAAACTTTCTGCTTCTGCTGGCCTCTTTACAGTAGCAATAAGCTCCTTATCTTTCCTAAGGATTTCCTTCTCTTCGATATCAATCTCTTTTCGCCTCTCTACTACTTCAATTTGAATTTCTTCGCTACGGATCTTCTGTTTAATTCTTGCACACTAAATAATAGTGCATTAGTTGTATGTTTGAGTCTGATGAAGTATCTATCATACGTGAAAGTATTTAAATTTTTTTCTTTATATCTTTATAGCTTTAATAGTAAAATATATAATTCTTGTGACGGTAGCATATGTTATCATATTTACTGAAAATAGTACGTTTGATACAATTAGGGTACCTGTAACTCATATGATAATTCTGCTTCGGCTCTCTATATAATTCAAAATTGCATTAGTTTCAATAATATTAAGGCGAATTTGTTACTTTAATGCCTCAGCAATCGTATTTTACGTTTCAAAGCTGATAACGCATTCGTCGATGTCATACATACAATACTATTTATTTCCTGATCAAATGCAGCTTTAGCCATTTCGTATTCACGGCGAGAATCAGCGATATTGGTATCGGCAGTGTACCTAACATCCATTCTAACTCTTTCAGCCTCTGCTTTCTGAATTATCATAAGCAATATGACAAGATTTATTTAATATTAGCGAATATCAAACAATTATTAATATACTATAAACTTTCGATGTATATAAATTATATCGGCAGAGGTTATACAACTCTAAGCAATCACCATAAGTATAACACGTGGCTCTAAACTGTACTTGTTTTATGGAAACTGCATGTTTAAAGCCAAATTTGGTTAAATCTTACTAGTTTATAACGGTTTTATAAAGTAAACATACTCTAATTCCAGCATCACGATTCGCTTCAGCAACTCCGATATCGGCATCGCGCTTAACAACTGCTGTTTGTGATTTTCCAAGAGAGTTTAAATAATCTACTTTATCCATAATGTCCTTAATAGTAAAACTGAGGATTTCGATACCCATTCTACCAACATCAGGAGAAGCCACTTCACGTACAAGAGTGGCAAATCGATCGCGATCTTTGTATACTTCTTCGACTGTTAAAGTGCCTATATGTCGGAAGTTATGAAAGGAAATTATCAGTACTGTATTCTGGATACATTTAAAAGTAGTTTTCATGGTTCTCAATTTTTAGCGCTGATTGTATTACAATGCAAAGTCTTAACATGAACTAAATTGATACAACCGTATACCGGACATGTGTGCGTAATCAAAATAGTTCATGCGATTCTCAATTTTTATCGCTGATTGTATTATATATCGCAACGTAAAAGGCTTACCCAAAATTGATCTCAAGTGACCTTCTAGAGTTTGTAGAATAATGTTTTCAATATCTTCTGTATTTCTCCCAAGAAATTGCTCACAGGCAATAGGCAACAGATCGCCTGTCATGATTTTACATTGTGTAACCGAGGTTACAGTAAGAGCGACTCCTTCAGCCGTTTCAACGCTCTCACAGAGCGGATTTAGAGTCATAACATTCAGAGAGATCCTTTAAATTAAGTAATAAACTTAACATACAGATAATATTAAATTTTATGCATTCTCCTTTTATCTTAGTAGTTACCAAATTACTGCATTATAAAATGGTTACTAGGGAATATATCCTAATTACTGATATAGCTATTTGATTAGATCTATGTAGTAATTTCAGTTGATTACAATAATCGCTTACTTTATAAAAGGAGTTGTAAATAAAGCAAAGCACTGTAATAAAATACTAAAAGCAGACGGTAATATGGTTGTACGCGTTTAGACATTTATAGTCAGTTATGATGTGATATAAATAGTCTTTGGAAAATAAATATAACTTAGAAATCTCTATAGCACACAATAGTACTGGTATGATGTCAATGATTACATATAGTTCTTCAGGATCTATAGAACGAGATTTTACAATACTGTGATACTCATATTCGTATGTCTAATTAACGAATTAAAGTGCAATACTGTAATGGTTGGCCAATGATCGAATAAAACGGAAGCCTTGATAAGTCCGGTACTATTAACGGTGGAATCTTGCGATACTTCGTCTGTAAATTACGGTGCAATTTATGTATATAAAGTAAACCAGTTTCGTAAGCCGTTGTTAAAAGGATACAGTCAAACTACATTTACTTAGATAACTTAGGGAGGGAATAAAGGCCGACCAAAATTATGTAATGGGGAATGGGAGGGAAAATAGAGGATAAGTAGTAGATGGGAAGATATACACGTAAGTACAGTGGTATCTTTCAATACGAGCATATATCATCTGCTTTATTTGCATAGAATCTGGAATCAGTTCAATTGCAGTAGTTATGCGGTTCGATGAAATGACAGAAAAAATCAATAAATCATGCGATTATAGGATCTGATGGCATCAAATGCTTTACACTGAAATATTGGATATGACAAAGGAGATTGATTACATTAGGATAATTAAACTACATATTGCCACCCGTATAATTGTAATCTTATTACAAAATAAACTATTACTAATAAAAAGAATATTGAAAAGGAGTGACTGGTAATATTTGACGAACTGGTACATCACAGTGAAATGAAATTTAAAACTATAATAGCAGACACGCTTCATTCATAAGTAAACAATCGATCATATGAAATCAACTATGATTTATAGACTGGTCTAATATAAAGTAGAATGAATCCTTACTGGATCCATTGCTTCTCTGTATTACGACCACCTATAATGATTTAAAATTAAGGTCATAAGTAGGTTTAGTGAACGAATCGATTTATGTAATAAAGTAAATCTGACAAGAAATTATAATTCTTGCCGAAATATTTTAGTATTCACATTCTCTCGTCCCCGCTTTAATATTTATTTAGCGAAGTTTTAGAGCTACGGAATGAACGTTATTGGTAAGTGAACTTTATCAATATCTTTATCAATATCATTCTAGACAGATTTTTAGTTACTAAGCATCGGCGGGAAATCTCTTATAAGATATACAACCGAACGATGCCAATCGTAATGGAACAATTAGTTTACAAATAGCGTATTCGTAGTCGCTAATGGAAACATTTGTGCTCACATAGATGGTTAGGCTGCTGTCTACCATAGCATAGTACGTAAGAATCTTGGACAAAATTTATATTTATAAATATAAATTATCGCTATTGCTAAAAGTGAATATTAAAAACAAAGGTTACATTGTGGTGTATACCTTTGAACATCGGTAATACCACACCAAGCCCAAGCCCAGCCACCATGAACATATCTCTTCTCTCCTGAACCGCAACAAGCACCTAGCAACGAGGCAAATCGATAAAGAAAGATATTGACATTATTAACATAATTAAGTCGATTTGATCCGAATAGATACTGCACCAACAGTGGCGCTACTCCATAATAATTTAATTTGTTCCATACTGTATATTATTCTGTAAAATATATACGATTAACTACAAACGGTCGTGTGTTAATTATGTTATTTATTTATTTATTATACAGTAACTTGTTAAAACTGTAATGTTTGCGTGATTTGATGAGAACGGAGTAATTTTTATTTATTGATTTTAGTCAGATAAAATTAAAAATACAGTATATACACGTACTGCGATAGTAAAACTATACAGTATATTTTACCAAGCATAAGGCAGTAACTGAATATTAACAAATCTACTATAAACTATTTAAAATATAAACTGGACGTACTGCTCATGGTAAATACGTACGAACATTAAAGTATGTTGTAGTTAACTATAAATTTTTGAAGAAGTTCATAGATTGCTAAAATGAACGTAACTGGTTAACTTACAGTTTATAATAATTGTACTAATTATTATACGTGTATGTAATTATCATGTTCACAACGTTACAGAGACTGATAATGTACTGACCTGACACCACGAGAGCCTCATTGGGACCAGTAGTATGGCAATTCCCCATCTTCAATTTATATTTTCTGATCTATTCTTGCCTTCGACAGAAGGCTATCGAAAGGTAATTTAATTTTAATTTTATTTAACCTATAGTATACTGTAGTTTTTAAAAATTTATTTGCTAAAGTTTAAGTAACTAAATACTATTCAAGAAACATCGAATAGCCTTCCGCTAGTAGGGTAGTGCGTGGACGTTACTTTATTCAAAAAGGTACAGTTATAAACTACTGATAATATATTTCTATAATTTTGCAAATGTACGCATTCTAAATGAAACAACGTCAAGAGAATAGAAAATGGTAAAAATTGAAATACACAACAGTCAGTATTAAGTAACAGTAAATACCCATCGGAATATATTGTATCCTGCGTATCATTGTGCTGTACTTGATGAGCGGATAAAAAATAGTTAGTGTATGCACATAAAGGCATGGACTCGTATATTGTATTACTTATCCGCATTGTGGAACACTTAATGGGACCAAGCTGTATTCCATAAATAATTTATTTACTTTATTTTATTTCTTGTTATTTTCTGTTCACGTTTCATAAAATTAATTATACATAGTTATATATTGATTAAAATAGATAATTATAATGATAAGAATTTTTACAGTTAATTTAATTTAATTTAATTAATTAATTACTTACAGAGGCACATTTATATATAGTACTGTACAGTACAGTGCTTCAGCTAGTACTGTACAGTACTAGAAAAAATACTGGGACTGGAAACACTCCTCGGATGGACGGACTTTCATACCAGATAAGGCCGAAAATATGGAAAAATAATATTATTTATTTATTTACTCAGTATAGATCTTCCGTGTCTGTTTTCTAAATGACTTGTATTAATTTGAATAGCATTCATGATCTAAATTTATTTCTTCTAAACAGAGCTTAGTAACAGGTAATAGAATGCTATCTAACATTACTTAATTCAGAAAAATCAGTCAATTCAGAATCGACTGTCTGCATACTACGGTCATAATGAAGTGTTGGACACAATTTATTGACCAAATAAGGCCAAATGTCTGTCCGTCCAAAGGAGTTTCTAGTCCAGGTATTTTTTCTAGTAGTCCATGACTGTACCAGGGACTACTCGAAAGAAAAGAGAAAGCTGGCCATTTCAGCTGTACCGACCATCAGTAATCCTATACTGTACACTATAGAGAGGGGTCTCTACTGTGCACGATCGTGCTCCAAATGATCTGCCAGGTTGGTTTTGCACAATGCGGTGTACGGCTACAGCCGTAGCGTATTGTAAAATGAAGGCTAAAAAAGTCGGCCTTCTCATTTTTTGTAGCTTTCGGGCCCGTCCCTTTCTCTTCTTTCGAGTAGTCTCTGACTGTACAGTACGGCATCATGGTTTCTGTTTGTTAAGTAGAAATGAATTCTGCTGTACACTGTACAGTACTGTAGAGAAGACCCCTTGTAAGGCTGTGGCTGAAGCGACGCACAGTATAGATCTACTACAGACAACATACAGTACTGTACTGTGCTGTATTAACGCGCCAGCTCACGAAAGTTTTTTTTAGTAAATAATAGATCATGGTGATAGCAATGACAGTGTCGATACAGGAGATATTGTATGGTTTCATACAGGAATATAAAAGAAAGAAATACTCAAATGCATATCTATACGGTGTTATTTTTGAAGAGGCAATGACGCAACCCTGTTTTATTTAGGGAAAATTATTAAAATAGAATTAACAGTTTTACTGTACTGTACAGTACTAGTACAGTACAGTACAGTACAGTATTGCTGACTACGCAATTCTACTGTACAGTACAGTACATTACATTTACAATGTACCGTACAGTACAGTGTACTGTACTGTAAAATAATGAGATTTAATGACACTACAGTGTACTGTACAGTACAGTATAACGTACAGTACTGTACTGTACAATACGAGATTCTCTTACCTCTATCGGATGTGCGGACAGATACTGTACTGTACTGTACTGTACTGTACAGTAAAAAGTGTGCTAGTTCGTAAAGCATTGTCACAAAAGTCTTCACACAGTGTTATCCTGCACGATTCGATCTGCTGGACTGACCGAAATAGCGAGCGGAAGCAGGTGAGTAATTAGTAATTTTAATTTATCGAAATTTTATTTTGATGTTTGGTGTATGTTCAGATTCTTGCTGTTGTTGTACAGTAATCAAAGAATTCGAAGATTCTATACAGCTGCACTGCATGCTTCTGAGGCTCTTGACACATCTATCTTGTTACTGTGCAACACTAATTTTTCGAGCTGAATTTACTCGATTACGGCGTTTCAGATCCTGCAAAGACCCTATGCGAAAGTTAAACTTAGCTTATTCCTATTATTACTTGCTGTTGACTTCGACTAATGAGTTTACGTAAATTATATCCACCGTCATCAATCTTAATGAGAAAGGAGACGAATCTGTCAATAACCTTGACAAGTACGAAAACAAACGTACCCCTTACGCACCGTTTCAAAACAATATTATAGTAAGATATTCAATACGGAGTATTAGTAAAGTGGTATTTAAGCTGAGCCTCTACACCTATGTGTATGAACAGAGATTGCTAATGAAAGTATAGTTCAGTGGGCCCCTAGCGCATAGGGATCGGGCATGTAGCACAACGAATAACTGCTAGTGACAATATCAATACTGTACTGTACAGTACTATGAACCTTAATCTCCCTACAGTACGGAAAATATGGTACAGTTAGTGCTTGCTCATCTGTTTAAGACTTAAATGATTTACCGCATTTCATTGCACCGTTTGATTTCATATATATATAATTAATTATCAATCCGAATCATGTTGCATCGATATCGTAGCTTTTCATTGATTCACTTCTCTTTTTTGGGTAACTTACCGGATCAAATTGATCCAACTTACCTTTTCAGCAAGTCTTAAATTTGTAAACTCTTCATTCATCCGACTAGCGCTATGTAATTTTTGCTAAGTCTGTAACCTTAGAATAGATTGCCTAAATAAATATTCAGTTATGTGCCGACTACTGTAAGTAGCGTCGTATGTTTATGAATCATTACTACTATAGTTCAATTCATATTTTGTAACCTTCAATTTCACATTTTTGCTATCCTTAAATATCATGCTTGAAGTCACTGACAACCATGGAGGTAAAAGAAAAACTGTAACTTCTTAGGACCCGATGTTGATGATATTACTGTAGAAAAAACATTGCACAGTAGCTGCTAATTTACTGTATGATTTCATTGGTTAAAAGCGAATTAAAACGTTGAAAATATGAAACATCAATTGCTGTAATTTCATTTATGATTTATATCAAAGACTACTGGAACTCTTGAAGGGAACCTATGCACAGCATGGCCGTGTTTCGTGTGCACTTACAACATAGTACAGTACTGTGTCGTTTCTTTCTAAGGCCCGGCCGGGTTTTGATTGACAAGTCCATTCGCCCATCCGTCTACATCATTGCAGTAACAAAAAAAAATTAATATCATTTGATTAAATGAAATTAAATTAAAAACCATCGCCATATTTCTAGTCATTTTTTCGACAAGTATAGTACGTTTTTCAGTGCTTGTGTACGGTATGAAGCTTAACCGAATATTGAGCCCTATTAGCAGTTGTACTATAATTATTGATTGACTGTATATAAATTAAATTAAATTTAATTTATATTTTAATTTTATTCATATTCTTCATCATTAAGATGCACATTCCTAGTGATGCATGCCTTATCAATGCTTTTAATTGGATATTATGTCGTTCCTTTTACTTTAGTGCCATAGATTTGTTCCCTAGAATAAGAAATAAAACTTATCCATAATGATGGATTACAGCGATCTTGATAGGTAAGTTGACGAAATTGCATTTTACGTATTGTACTAGTACACTATTTTGTGACTGCTGATACAAAGGTAGGCGCTTTAATGATTAAGTCACGATTTGGCGCTATGCTGTAGCACCTTTTTATAATTTCTTGGTAAAAAAATTTTGATATCAGTTTAACGTACGTATAGTGCTATGCGCGTTAGGGTGTATTAAATTGTTCTAATTTAGGCGAAGATAGTGCAGTAGGCGGGCTGCGATTAGGATATGTTGTGTCGATCGTTGATGCTTATGCTAATAATTAGTTATAATTATATATATATATATATATATGATACGCGAACCTTCAACGTTTAAAGAAAGTTCTTTTACCTGTAAATGTGTGCAAAAGTATTGGTAGTGGCAATTGTAAAATATGATACTGTTGTTGAATGTAAGGTATCTTATCGTAATGCACTACTGTATAATGGTGTTTTGATATAGACAAATTGAGCAGTTAAAACTCTGCGAAACTATATCTGAGAGTGAAGTCAAAGCGTTATGTTCCAAAGCTAAGTAAGTCAGATCTTATTTGTCAAATGTACTGCAAATGTGCATCCTCATTTTATATATTTGTAATATTTATAAACTTTAAGTCCAAATAGATTATAATAATCGCATCTATTGGCAGCACTGATGCCAATTACTGCCTTATGGTTAATGATGATGACTTATGTTGTTAATTTACTCTTGTATCGCAAGATAAATACCTTATGATATGCTCACTATTTGAAAGAATATTACGATAGATTCTTCGACTGTCTTCTAAATATGCCCTTTTTTTACTATGTAACGTTACGTAGGGAAATCTTAGCAGAAGAGAGTAATGTCCAGAAGGTCGATGCACCTGTAACGGTAAGACTAGAGTTTTTGTACATGTGAATGTGAGCTGTTTTGCACATATTTTTCTTTAGGACTTAATCACCTTTAGGGTGTGCAGTAGCAGCTATTAAAATATTATTGTTTAATATTGTATCATGTTTAAAGGATATAGTTATACAGATGTTAGATGTTACTAAATTGCGACTGTTAATATACCTATGTAGCTATGTGGTGACATTCATGGGCAATTTTATGATCTAAAAGAATTATTTAAAGTAAGTCAGGCTGGGTTAATGGTATATTTATTTAAAGTCTTGATTGATAATGAATATATGTAGTTTTAATGACGACCTTGTTTGATTGATGAACGCAATTTGCAGGTTGGAGGAGACGTTCCAGATACAAATTACTTATTTATGGGAGATTTCGTTGATCGAGGATTTTATAGCGTAGAAACTTTTCTTTTATTGCTTGCACTTAAGGTTATTAGTGACTTAATATGAAGATCTCAAACAGCAATTAATATCATGACTTCATGAAAGTTCATGGAAGTATAATTAAATCAACTTTAACGATAAAGTTGCTCTAACTTAATAGGTTCGTTATCCGGATCGTATTACCCTCATACGTGGCAACCACGAAAGCAGACAAATTACGCAAGTACGTATAAGTCAGCATTCGATAATACAGTATTGCTTTATTTGCTAATTTGGCATCTTAAAATGTAGTATAACTACCAAGATATGGTCGATGTCTTTAATTGCCATTGATTGTGGTTATTTGTGTATCTTAAAGGTATACGGTTTTTATGATGAATGTCTCAGAAAATATGGTTCTATTACCGTTTGGAAATATTGTACCGAAATTTTCGATTATTTAAGTTTATCAGCTATTATCGATGACAAGGTTGGCAATATACAGAAGGACTGTATTAATAGTGCCGTGAATCGATTACTGGCGTAATTTATTGTAATTGAAGGCTATCATATTTCTTATACTACGGTAAAATCTGAAAACTTGTTACCTTTCTACTTAATTTTAGATCTTCTGTGTCCACGGTGGATTATCTCCTTCGATTAGAACTTTAGACGAGGTTTGTCAAATTAATCGATTATTTTATTTAATATGATTGGTTAATAAAGTTTGTAAAGTTATATTATGATAATCTCTTTATCGTGAATATATATCCATCACTTTAGATCCGAACTATAGATCGTAAACAAGAAGTTCCTCACGATGGGCCGATGTGTGATTTGCTATGGTCCGATCCTGAAGGTAAACCTTAAAATGTCAATATCAGGTTATCTAATATTTTAACTTACATATTTCTAATAAAATTAAACTGATTGGTTAACAGAAATTGAAGGGTGGGCCATTAGCCCTCGTGGAGCTGGATATCTCTTTGGTAGTGATGTAGTAAAGCAGGTATAGATCTTGCGAGAATGTTAGATAATGTAATATTGCCCTTTAAATTATTAAGGGATTATCATTCTTTATTTAATTAGTTTAATATTACAAACAAGCTCGATATGATATGTCGAGCCCACCAGTTAGTAATGGAAGGCTACAAATGGCACTTCAATGAGACTGTACTTACCGTTTGGTCTGCTCCAAATTACTGTTACAGGTACTTAGCTAAGTTATTTCATTGTGTTTTTGCAACTGATTTTGTATCTATGATTAATCAACATTATTAAACATTAGATGCGGCAATGTAGCAGCAATTCTTGGATTAGATGAAAATTTACAAACTAATTTCATGATTTTTGAAGCCGCTCCGCAGGTACTACTTTTACTGTATATTCTATAGATAGAGTAATGATTTCTAGAATAGTAAACATGATTAATGTTGCTTGTTTATCTTATAATAGGAATCAAGGGGTATTCCCGCGAAAAAACCGCAAGCTGATTATTTTTTGTGATTTCATAGAATTAGTAATACCTAATCGATATACATGGTTCCATTAATAACGGAGATATAAATTGAGTACCCTGTTATATAAGATCTAGCACCATTACCTAGGAAAAAAAGCATGAAGGAGGACTAGCAAATGTACCTTATTGTCACTCAACTGTTATTGGTACACTGTAAATTTTTATTGTGTACATGTATTTATATTATATTTATATCGTTTTATCTATTGCATGATAGAAATGTCTCTATATTAATGTTTGTGTTTATAGCAACGTCTCTATATTATTGCGACTAATGTAAGCGGAAATATTTGAATATTCTGCTACTGTGTTCGTTCAGTAATGTTGCTAATGAAGTTACTTTAAGTACACGACTATACTTCTGTTTGATTAGTAAATACCGACGCAAAATCCAACCATTAACTCTGCTATATGTGGATAGTATTTCTTTAGTATAAAATAAGAATGCCTACTAATATATAGTATGTAAAGTATCTCCTCTTTACCCTAGCTACTCGATTTTAGAATAATGCAAGCACGTAATTCTTGCAATCTGTTATTATTCGAATTATTTGAGCTTGTGTATACAGTATTACGCAAACATTTAACCTTTTTTAATTTTTTGAATATGCATGGTAATATTCATTGACGAATTCTTAAAATACGTATCGATATCAAATTGGTCGCACTTGACCAAATTTAAAATTTACATGTTTGCCAAAATTTTTTCGTTACAGTATTATATAACGAGCTGGGGAAATTGTAATCCTATGCATCTAAGTATATTCTTATTAAATATAATCTAGAAAAGTAATAATTTAGAAACCTTCTATCTTTCAGATTTATCTTTAATAACTAGTTATGATGATTACCCTTAAAAGTATCTTAGCGTTTAATTGGAGGTGTTCCGAAGTTAATTTGTAATTATAACTATAAACCGTATTTGACCGATAATTAATATAAAAACCAATTTATTTTGCCTCATTAAAGATTTCAATTTATTAAACTATTCTGTGGTCGAATGAATGATTTGTATCTACGCGCATATGACGTTCTAGCTGGCAGCAATTACTTAAGATATTTATTACGGTACATCATTATCCGTTCATAAAATGTTACTTCAGTTAAATTGTCTGTTGTATTAATATGAATTTAGCTTACACGCAGATTTGTTTAAATCTATTGCATCTGAGTTTACAGAGTCCTATCCCCTAATTGTACGAATATGATTTTAAAATTTACAAGGAATAACTGCATTTGTAGTTTACACGTAGGTTTGAAATACTAATACCATTGACATTGCATCCATTAGGCAATTTAAACTTTGAATATAAGCCAGAAGTTATCACTTCTTATTCATCCAGGTCACCAGGTCATTGATAGTATCTTGTATCTGAGGATCGCGAGATATTGATACAAATAAATATATATTAAAGGTATTATAGTGTGGAATAAAATCTGTTTTTGTACAATATCGTTGACCAATACTTTGCATAGTAACCTACTTGAGCGGCAATTGCTTCATCATTATTCGATTGAGCTGCCTGAAGGGCCTTTTCTAACTGAATTTTGCCCAGATCGGGTTTCTCTTGAAGTAGCATAACTTTGGCGTAACTATACTCTAAGCTTGGGTTGTTTGAAAGTACTGTTACAAGCTTCTGGTAGTACTTTGCTGCATCATCGTATCGCTTGTATGATGCCAGCGTTGGTGCTAATATGGATAGAATATCCTACAGAAATCATTGTAATAACAGGAAGTATGTAACATATTGTGAATCCTAACAAGACACTAAAAATTTGTAATTTTCAGATTAATTATTGACAACATCATAAGATTTTCTATAATATGAACATTAAGATGCAATCAATATAATTGTAAGTAAAAGTAGATTTGATGAAATTTACCGGGCTATCTGGATGTTTTCTTAACCCAGCTTGTAAAACTCTAATTGCCGCTTGTCGGCAACTTGGCGAATCACGACATATAACATCGTAAACAGAGGTAAAATGCGAACTAGGAATGTCACCAGCATCGTCCAGCATAGAAATAATTTTTTCCATATCAGGAACAAAATCGGCAATTTTGCGAGAAATGAGCATTAGGTTATCTGGGTGTCTAGAGTGGTTATAAAATTTTGTCCTGATTAGGCAGTAATTACTACGAACAATAGCGCAACGTTAAAGAAAATAACCAGAGTAGGTTTGCATACTGAGATAACTAAAATAACAATCTGGAGCATGAGTATTTATAGATAGTAAGTAATTTTAACATAATTAGCTAACAATGATGTAATCGCTGTTATCTCCTGCGTATTGTATATAACAAAGTTTTCTAATATCAATTTTAGTAGCTAGCTTTACTTTTACTGTCAATGAAAACATTGCATATGTACTTTTGCAAGCCAGCATCAATGGATTGATGTTTTGGTCTCAAAGTGCGCTCATCTTTAGGTAATTGGCTATCTAACCAATCTAGGGCAGCATAGTCCCTTCCTGAACTGCATTCAGTCCCTGTGATCTTACTCAGTAAACAACGTGCTTGGTCAAGTAAATTGTTATTTAGATAATAATCAACTGTAAAAGCGTATAGAGAGGCATTAGCTTGTGACCAGTTATTTGCGGCTTCGAAGATACTGACTGCAATTATGAAAAAGAATTAGGTAGGTGAAAAATCTAATACCATTATCAAGTGATATTGATGTCTAGTGTTATCATGAGTGATAAAACATAGCTAGTAGCATTATCTAACAGCTACGGTATTGCATTTACTTAAAATAATTGTTATAGTATCCTTGATAATGCTAAAGTTTTTTTATTCGAGCTGGTCATTAGATAGGGGTAAGGAATTTATAAATATTAATTACTAGTACAATCTATAGTAGATATTACTTAGAAATTATTAAACGAGCTTATTGCTTAGAGATGAACTACTACTAATTAGACATTGTACTAAAGTTTGCTCATACTGTTATACAAGCTATGTAATCTAAGCAGCAAATTCAAGAACTAGGAGTTATGTTGCCGTACCTGCTTTACCGATATAATCGAGAAATTGCAAGGTGTCATTTTCTTCTTTACTAGAGGAATATAATGCCGCTAGTATCTCATAAACCTTTGCTACATTGATTTCTTGTACACTAAAGTTTTTCTAGGTAAATAATAATATATTGAAAGTGTCTATGAAGATTACCTAATAAGTGCCTGAATAACTATATTGTACGCAGAAGAATAGACTAAAATCTATAATAAATATCGATTACGCTTACCTCAAAATAATCCAATGATTGCAAGCAATATTTGCGTATTTCGGCTTTAGTGTGACTATTATAAATTTTTAATAGCATATCTATATACTGAGCGACTGTTTTGGAACTTTTTTCGCCGCATAAATGAAATGTGATGTCCAGCGTCCTATTGTTAATCAAGAGTAGTTAATCTTAAAGCGAGCAAACGATAGATTATAATATTTTAGTCAGCATAATGAAAGAAAAGTTTCCTTATTGTTTTACTACTATCTTGCTAATTGGACGATCGCTATTTGTAGGTTTTAAAAAAGAAACTAAAAAACTTACGTTAAGCTTAAGGGCGGCCTTTGATTAGCTAGCATTCCACCATTAATCCAGTCTAAGACAGCAAAATTTCTATCTGGACATAATGACCGATGAGTAATCCTTTTGATTAATGCTTTAATGTCATCGAAAAGCTGATTATCGAGGTAATATTCAATATAGCCTGCATTTAGTGGCGCTAAACTGGCATGCATTTGGTCCAAGGCGAACAATATCTTACCTGTGATAATTTTAAAGTTATTAAAAGTCAGTGTTCAACAATTCAATAACAATATAATAATCATAAATATTCCATTAAGTCTGATTAATAATCGAATTTACTTGCTCGCTCAAAATGCGGAACACCTTCGCCTAAGTTGCTTTGATACATATGCGTCAGGGCTAAATTTTCACATGTCACGGCAATCTGAATATGATTGCCACTGTAAACAGTCTGAAAAATAATCAACGATCTATCGATTAATAACACAATTACGATGTTCTATATCAGGACTTTATTTACTACTCGCAGGCAAATGTAATGCTGTAGTATGTAGTGGAGTAATAACATAAATCCGCAAAATTCACGTTTAAAACATTGGCTGCCTTCGCTCATTGTTTCTTTATAATACATTTCTTAATTAATGCTATCTAGCCCGGAATGCAAGTAACGATATAATGATGAATAGGCTCAATTTTTCAAAATTGTTATACATGAGTTAGAATAATGGCGATGTTTGCTAAAAATCAACTTTCATTTCTTGGTACGGAAGTAACTACGCGTTCCATCGATTGGAATCGGTAAAATGTCCTCATTGCTTTATCTCAGCTAAAGTGGAATTTAAAGTAACATTACATTTATGCTAGTAATCAGAAGCCAAACTTTATTGTCGCATATTAAGTAAAAAATCAAACATGACACTGAAAATTCGTAATACTTGTAGTAATTGACGTTATCCTTTTCCTAATTGGCTACAAATTGTTAATTTTAATATCACTTTATACAAATGTAGTGCACGGGTTCTTAACCCTAACATATGCATAACTACTGTAATTAGCTAAAATCATTACAATAAATTATAAATCATATGTTGTTAAGATGTTCTTGCAGTAAGTACATATTTTTATCATGAGAACAATAAGGATAAAAACAATATTACAGAGCAACACGAAAATAGAAATATTTGAAAGAATAAATACTGATTCTATACAGTAGATATATCAAAAAAGAGCAGTAGATATAGCAATAATAAATCCATGTAGTTTAGCTGCATTCTTGCTGACATATGACGGTCATATTTGACTCACCTCATAGATAGCAAGTGCTTTCGTGAAAAATTCTTCTGCAGTTTTATAATTCCGCTTATTGATTAATTCAAAGGTGCCCATGTTAATATAAGATTCAGCAATATCTGGATGATTGGATTTAATGAGATCCAACCTTGTATCTAAGGCTCTGCAATAATTAAATAATATAACAGTTTAGATTCAAGAGGGACGATTTTAACTCTGAAATGATTTCGTTTCTAGATTTTTATATAAGCATTTAAAAATTTTATAGCACTGGAAATGAATATATGTTTTGTAAGCAATATGTTCTTGTGGACGTATTCAATTGTTTAAACATTTAGTAACCAAGTAGAATAGAAGATCAAATATATGAGTACTTTTTATAGTAAAATTCTGCTTTATCTAACATTCCAAGATTTCGATAACAGCGAGCCAAGTTGTTGTAACTACCACACATAGATAAATTTCGTATTCCATAGTAATACTCTTCATAAATCTAAAGATTTAAGTTTAGAAATTAGTCCATAATGTAGTAAAGGACTACTGCCGTCGTTTCTATTTTAGTTTGAAATACGCTTTGCTTATAAATTCTATAACGACATTTGAGTATACTAGTATAACTATAAATCCATAGCACTTTGTCGAAATTATATTAGATTACACTATTTTCTTGAAATTAGCAAATGAGTGATGCAATACGCGCACAGTGCTATTGTTAGCCGTTAGGGAATGAAAATTTCTTACTTTTAAAGATTGGCAAAATAATGTTTCAGCCTCAGTATACTTGTCAGTTTGCATGTAAATGCAGGCTAAATTATTAATAGAATCTGCATATTCATAGCTGTCTTCCTGTTCTTTATGCATTTCAATAGCTTTCAACATATATTCTGACGCCTACAATTATATAAATAAAGTTCAACAATTAATTTTGATTTAACTCAATATGTGTAAATTTTACGAATATATTGCAATAAAATATAGGAATAGTTCAAATTAATAAAATATTTTCTGGTCGTAATCTTACCTTATCATAGTGCATTTTACTAAAATAGAGTAAACCTAATCCATTAAGAGATCGTGCAATTTGAAGTTTCGATCCAATACTGTAAAACATCAAAATATCAGAATACGCGTAGATTAAATTAGAAAAGAAATTTTCGTGTTGATTTGATTGCTTTCAAATCAAGCTTTACATCTATGTCCTACTATAATCCATCCCAATATAATTTGTATTTCTATTATCAAATATAATGTAGCATAGTTAAGCAAAATAAATGCATACTCTTTGCTTAATCACTACTATTATTGTTGAACGTAATCCGTCGTAAAGTGATATTATTTACTCCCAAAGCAGATTCATTAAAATCGTTACTGCGAGCATGCTGTGGTTACTAAATACTAAAGAATTACTTTATTATAATTATATCAGAGTAATAAGTTTCAGTATAGCTAATTTGGTGAAGTCTTTTAACCTTAAGCTTAAATTTTCTTCAAATATCTTACGATGATTCTATCGCTTACCTTTCATAGATATTTAAGGCTTGCAAGTGCAAAGGTTCAGCTTCAATAAATCTATTAGTGTCAACATACAGTATGGCCAAGTTTCTTAGTATGTCTGCTAGCCATTCAGACTGGCTATCTGACTCATCTTCGCTAAATCGTGATTTCTAGCAGTTCAATTACCAAAAAAAATTAATGCAACCGAAATACAATAAAGCAAACATCGATGTTACGAAAATTTTCTATTCCATTTATGTATCAGAACTTCACTAGCTTCTTAAATATATGGGATATAGGAATATTATGCCGTACTAAGGATAAAATACTGACGTTTAATTCATATTAATGTTTCTAAGTACCCAGGTACTCTAAGAATAAGAATAACTGTAAAGAGATGCCAGTTTCTGGGAAAGTCAGCAGCAAGCGAAATTACTGAGGCAGTATAATAAATTCTAATAGTATTCGCGCATATAAGATTGATATTATGTTGAAATCAATTTTGGTGAATACATTGGTAAGTTAGCGTCGAAAAGTACGGGATATAATTTACTATAGCCATCATATGGCTATAAAATAGGATATTAAATTAATTCTAATAAGTTACTTAATACTATGGCTATCAATATTACCATTATCATTAAATGTGCTTACAACGAGACGAAGGCGCCATTTCAAGAAGTATTCCTCTGACTCATATTGAGCTAGCCTGTTGAGAAATGCTGTAACAGTTTCAAGGACCTTTTCGATCTATTTAATCATATATTCAAAAGAATAAGTTAGTTAATAAACATTAAAGTGAAGTAATCCGATTTTTATAAATGGAGAAAATACGAGTTTTCGTGAATGCACGATCCATAAATGTAACTAAAAGGAATTATCGTAGTAACACTTTTTTACCTCGTTAATAGCTTGATTAGGCGCGTGAAATTCGTCATAGCGGTCAGCGTATACGCTTGCTAATTCATTTTTGATTGAGGTTTCTAACATGCTGTTTATCTCTTCCGGTTCAAGTTTCGTCTGAATCCAATATTCAGCTAAATCTATTACACCATTCCTAAGAAATGATATTAAAACAAAGATTACAGCAAGATATCACCATCGTATTTTCAATATTGAATTAGCACTACAGCATCTTACTAGAATTACTTGGGTTAGAAAATATATTCAGTAAATACTGCAGAAATATTTGTGAAAATTTTTAGCAACAGGTATAGTAACATGATATACTTACTTAGCCATCCATTGGAATACATGGATATTACATATACAATTTGCGAGTTCATTAAAGCGACCAGATTTTATTAGCAAATGAGGCAATTCCGTGGCAACTCGTGATAAAATTGTGATATCCAGTTGCGAAGAAGAGATAGACTGATTTGAAATAATTTAAGAATTGGCTTTTAGTACGTATGCTATATAAGGCAGGTAAAAAGATTTACTATAAAATTTTCGTACCATCAATTTACTACTAAAGTAATTTATAAGCGATTCATAATAATAATCTTCCTTGGATTGATCATGTAAATAAATACTACGAATAGCCTCATTCAGTTCGTCATATATGAATCTAGATTCGAGATATAGTTATATGGTTTTAAAGATATTGAAAAAAGAAAATGATAAGTAGTTCAAATACAAGTAGAATATTATATTTCAAATGAATAGCAAAACGAAGGTTCTAGTATTAGCAGTTAAAAGGGTATTCTTTTACAATAAAATCGTATTATAAAGGTTAGGCTTATACGCGTACATTGCTCTAGCATAAAAGAGTTCATATCAGGGAATTATTTTTAATCATTAGTATCGGAAACATTTGATATATTTTTTTCGTAACTACTTATATTAGTCGGTCTATAATTATATAATTAAATAAGAAATGTTTCAAACATGAACAAAATCATTATCTTAGTATACTGTATTTCGTACGTATATATCTACAAATGTTATCAGAATATGAAATTACTAATTTTTTTAGACGGGATTAATGCAAATAAATCGAAGAGCTAGCTCCTATCATTTCGACAAAATTTTAATCTGTTCCTACTTACTTTAATAGGACAGAACGATGAGATAAATATTTATTTGTGGCATAATAAATCATAGTTAACTGTGTAGATTCCAGTCCAGTTAAGTCTATGATTTCTTTTTCTGTGAGACCCTCTTTTGAAATACTTAGGTAGCACATAATCTTAAATATACACACAGAGTTAATAAATATTAGAGAGCAAGATTTAATACTATAGCTGATTCCTACATTAATCGAGCTACAATAGAATGAAATAATAATTACTATCTAGCAGTTTAAGTTGCCACATAACGACATCTAAGGATTAAAAGATGATGGAGTTTAGCTAATGATCAATTTATTGCATTTATGATTCACTTCGTCGTGAAATTCAATTACTGAAATGTTGTAATTTACCGATACTAAAAGTATATGCTTTACAAATATTTCAGCCTGCAAATGATATAATTGATTTATATCTATACGTACGGTCTCTTAATAAGCTTTGCGTTCTATTTAGATATAAATATAGATCATTTGCGTATACATATACTAAAGTCAGTATACTTATTTAGAGTGAATTACGGAACGGCACATAAAGTAAAAATTAAAGTAATCCATCTTTACTCTCGGTGATATCAGAGTAAGATAATAATAAGAAAACCTTCTCATAATTCATAAATAGTAAATATGTTTTGTATGCTTTCGATATTTGACGTTAACAGCACCATTTTTAACTGGAATCGTTATTTATTTCTAAATATACCTATTGATTCCTGGTGACTACTGCGGTAATTTATTGTCCGCATCAAGTGAGCAACATCAGTATAAATAATTTCTGTTTAGTTACAGATATATCATAAATCTAGGGTACGATAGACCCAATAGCTGTTATTAATTGCACGTAGTCTTGAGTAATTAAATACGTCATATCCATCAAGACGTATTCCTCTTTTCAGATGTCAACATTGTTCCATAAAGATGATCATATACTACCTATCAACTAAGTAAGTTCATCTCAGATTACTAAATGCATCATACGTACATCTTTAATAACATTAGTAGAGCTGTCTGTGTTATAATCCATCTCTAAACGTTCCAAAAACTTGATAAACAACTCTTTTGTGCTATATCAGTAAAAAGAAAAGATTAAATAAAGTTAGTTAGGGAGTCATATTTGTCATTAATTTCCCTATTTTGTCGCAATGCTAGACCATCAACAAATCTTATTTCTATTTATGTAAAATAGCCCTGCTTTGTATTAACTAAGAGTTGGATAGGACTGAAATGAGAAGATCCAGTCAAAAAGGATTTGGAAGTAATACCATTGATGTCACTCACAGCAAATCAAATATATTGTAAAAAACATGAATAGGTAATGTATGGTTAAGATGATGCTCCAGTAAATGGTATAATGCTTAAATCTATTAAAATTTGATTATTTATTTCTCTTGTAATGATTTATCGGTCCTGGTATTTTTAGTCTGCTTTAGATATAAATGCTTTTAGCTCCAGTAAGCAGTTTGTAAAGTAATAAGTTTATTGCATGCATATAAATTTAATATTATTAATTAATGCATTCTATTCTACATCTTACTCATTACAACTCAATAATTCCTTTATACGGTCGTCAATTGTTTCAAATTTTCCGTGGACGGATAATTCCTAATCGATTATTAAGGATAACAAAGAAAGCAGGAGTAAATTTCAATAAAGTGCAGCGTGTACCTATTACGAAGGATTTTAATTAAGATGTCCTACCTCAAGTACAACTTTTAGATATAATGGATTCTTACATTCTTGTTGACTCAAGACGACGTCCATCTGGTTCGATTCATTATGTGCGTAATAAGTTTAAGAGTTAATAATCCAGCTTAATTATTGTAACATGACATTTTTTATGCGACATCTTAAAGGTTTTGATCAAAAAGTAATAATATTTCGATACTTTCGAAGATATCAATGAATACGGTATTTATTTATCAATTTACAAACATGTTGGCTTACAGATTAAATTAAATACCTGATTCGGTGATAAAGCCTTTCCTCTTAGCTTTAGCATGCCCTATTCGAATGTTAAAGTTTGTAAGTTATTTGGGGTTCTTTATGAATAGAACAAATTTTGATCAGCATATGATAAGATGCTGTTATACTTCGGTTAAAATTTGGATATCCTTTGGCTCTAAAGGTTGTATATTCAAAACTTGATAATGACGGGCATCAACAAGTTCAGATGTGATTTCGTTATGACTGCTTTTACAAGATAATAGGAAGTGAATTCCCGATGGAGTTGCCCGAGGTAGCCAATATAATATCTAAGCCAAGATTAAGAAACAATCGGTCAATATATTATAAAGAGTTAAACTTATGTTTTAGTAGCTGTCTGCAAAGGTAATATTATCTTAATTGCTAGATTTTTAGGATAATGCATGTAACATATTAATGTATCAAGATACATGCCACATATCAGGGTTATAGTTAAAGGCATAGATGGCGTTTAAAAAGTAAATTTTTGGAAGTATCCAATACGAAGTAAGGATAATAGTCAAATATATCAAAAATGTAGTTTAGGTTATTTAGCTTTTTACTTTGAAATAATGAATTAGTTTTCTGTAGTAGCTACGCTGAATTATAATCAGTAAGAATAAATGCGAACACTAAACTACATACATATTTTCGTAATTTTACTTACACGCTCAGACTTTCCGCGACTGGTCACACGATCTAATCCATCAACAAGGATAACGACCGAATATTCTTTTTTTGAAAGTATTGTGAGGATTTTATTCAAGGATTTTGAAGCATCCTTGGCGTTATCATGTTCCTTTAATGGTAACTTCTGGCTTTTACGTAGTTGATTAACAATGTTCGTCAAGATGACTAGAACATCTAAACACGTAGGAATTAAGATTCGGTTGAACATCATATCATCTATCACTATCTACGAATTATAACTGCAGTATGGTAAAGTTACCTTGGGCGTTCTTAGCTGTGCTCGCGACAAAATGATATGCAACAACCAATTTTTTGTCTCGCTGCTTCGACTGATGATTTTTTAACCAGTTAGCCAATAGAGCAGATTTGCCACTACCGCCTCTACCAGTAACTAAAAGTGGTACGTCCTCATCATATGCATGCCGATTCACAACATTCAAATAGTCATGGCTTCCAACATATTTATCTCCTAATGACAGTCTATTTATATAAAAGGCATCATGGAATGTTAAGATTGAGCTAACTGGATCATCCTCATCGGCACGGTGGATGAAGAAGACTTCGGTCAAATACTTATGCAACGTTAGATAAATTTCTCTGGCACCCTATAATTTGATTCAGATCATCTATCAGAATTATCTTATAAAATCAAGAAATACAGTCTACGCACTTTCAACTATTTACAGTACGCAATGGACATAAATGGTTTTTATTCGTCACTTGCCTCGGTTGGCGATGCATAGTTCATATTAACGGCCAAACACTAAAGCGTGAGGAAACAAAATACAGTAATTGCAATGGTATAAATACATGTTGAAGAATTTAATACAATATTTATCCGATTAATTAAATTGGAAGTAAAATATCGACAGATTGACATTGACTGAATCCGTACTTTGTCCTCGGTTTCTTTAATTCTTCTTTTTAAATCATTCAACATCGTATATGTTTTATCACTTTCCACCTTGAAGGCATTCATACGCTGAGTTAGTCCTTTTTCTTGGCAAATTTTCAATTGCTCATCATCATACGACTAATAAATAACGAATGGCGGAATAGCATAATTTTTAATAGTCGCTAAGAAACCAACGTGTGAGTAAACACTTAATGCAAGCTATGATTTATCGTGCTTTCATGTTAACCTTATCTCGAAAGAAAAAACATGCTGGTAATGCACCGATATTATTTAAATGACCATGTAGGAATTCTAATTCAGTAACGGAGCGATCGCGATAGTGTTCTAACCAGGGATAAGATTTCTGTGCATAATCAAAAGTTTTTTGTAACAGATCATCTTGAAATCCATTCCAGCCATACCTCTATAAGTTATAAAGTGAAATACTTTAGGTATATGCAATCCCTAATAACTAATACCATTACTCGGGTAGTTACATGTTAGATATGTAGTCTACAAGAGGATATTAGTATTTATATGATATATTCGTGCTATTGTTATGTACGTGCAGTATTTGCTTAACAAAGTTAATAATCTGCCGCATTAAACATCATTCGATCTTCAACGTTTAGCAAGATTAATTAAATGATATATTGTATAATAGCACATTCATGGATCTGTAATGCTAATTCTGTGCTTTACAAGTTTATAAAATTAGGAGAGACATATGATTATCCGTAAATGCAGAGGAAAGTGCGAAAATTTTAAAAATTACAATAGTGCAGGAATCAGACAATTCATTGCTACTGCATTCAAATAAGTTTTAATTTGCTAAATAATTTTTTAATTTATTTATTGGATAAGTGCGATTCTGTGCAATGTATAATTACTGTACGTCTACAACAAACTCTTCGAAAGAATCAGCTAAGAACACTTATTTCTTACCTGGCCAAACATGCCAACAAATATATCACTTCTGTCAATCTCGCTAAGACATATTCCAATCGTTTGATATTTAGAAGTTGATTCCTTAGTAATACCCCATCTCAAATCCACAGGAATAAATTGATAGCCACGATTATTGCACATATCATGAATATGTGGAAAATAAAATTTAGTTAGCTCTTCTCTCTCTTTTTCCATGCCATTAAACGGCGACGAAAAAAAGATTCGAAGAGTTTCTGTAGTATCTCTTTCTTCCTTCTTTCTCATCTTGACTCGCTATGCTTCATTTGTTCCTGTAATGGTATAATGAATATTAAAATCAATAAATTGAAGATATTGAGAAGTTAAAGTATTTTATTATTATCAGATCCAAGATACAACTAATACGATAATTTTAGGTGAAATTGGCTTTACACCAACAGCTATATTCTGCAAGTAACATCAGTTCATATATATGTGATAGTAAATGTCACTAGCATTATTATTGCTAGTTTTAGAGATGCAAAGTATAATAGATCCGCCTAATCTTAAGTTCATGGTAACTAAATAGAATTTTAAAATGAGTATACCGACCGTACTACAATGATTAAGCCTATTTTTACTTCTATTAGTCACATTGTATGTTTAATTGCAATGGATTAATCCAAAATGCATAGTTTAATGGGTCAAAACAGACAAATATCAAATTTAGATATCACTCTATCACTTTAGGCGGAGCAATTATGATCATTCTGATGTTGTACGTCGGTCATTAATTATGTTAAGCTGCCACGGTGCGAACTATCGTGAATAAATAGCTGAATAAATAAATATAGGCTACTAAACTTTACGTAGGTGATAACTATTAATAGCTTACAGTAAGAATCACTGTAGTTATTATTTGTTATAGTAAATTATACTGCACTGTAGAAAGAGTTCTTATTTGGTAACTGATGTTAATTAATGATAGTGCTGTCTTGTGATGCTTGTGATTGATATCCTGAAGATGCTCAATCATAGGTGATACCATACATAATTCTGTGAATGGATATACTGTAGTCTAGTTATCTAGAATCATTCGATGCATGTCTACGATTATAAATATCTGTGTATTAATTTAGCTATCCAGTATGAATTGACTTTCACAATCTTATGTTGACTCGTTCATGCTAACTGCCGCCGAAGGGTATTTAAGCTCGGTAGATAGTTGAATAAAATCCGGATTCTCTAGTAGTTTAACGTAGAAGCAAAGGTATTTCAATTCTCATGAGATAGTTAAAGGTTACTGAGTCTCGGAGACTTTAGTAATTTAAAGATTTATTTAGGTTATCCTTGTCACGAAGCTGGTTTGCGACATAACCATATAAAAATGTAATGATTTATAGCTAAATACGAAAATACTTCAAATACGGACTGCATCAATCTTAGAATAAGCAGAAATAGCAAGGTATTAAACTTTTATTTCAACTCAGAGAAAAAATGGAAGGCGTATACAACATAATAATGTTGTATAGTAAGAAAGCTGTGCGTATATCATGCAATATCGAGGTATACTATATGTGGATTTATTGTGCTATGGATCCTAATAGTTGCAAGAGCTCCTGAAATCGACGGATTTCAACTTAACCTTTCCTGGTTACAATTAGTTAAATTCGTAATTTTTTCATGAACTTACCAGAAGGGAACATTAACTTCTACTATCTTTAACTTAGGCAGAATTGACGTATTTCCAGTGCCTACTTTCTTCAGCGAATTAATAATAAGCTAACATTTAGTATTTTCCAAATTGATGCGTGCTCGTATCAATGCAGTATTACTATTTATCTTGACACTGTGGGATTTCGATTTAGTAAACAATACTACAGTAGTATCGTTGCCTTTGATTACCTATTTGCCACACTGACCATACGAAAATAACGACTTCAACTGATCGATTACCTGTAAAATATGATAAATTTTGATACAGTCTGATACAATATCCCAAAGCGTATCCATGGAAACTCGTACTGCGCATGATCGGTACATATTGAAAATATCAATAAACGATATTTAATGCGAGTATATGGAGGTTCTCCGGACGTCTCCAATGCAAATACTGATCAAAATCAGATTAAACTATAGAAAGTAATTCTTTAATAATGCATCATTACATTTAAGATGTTTCTGTCCAATATCAGTGCCGTAAACCAGCCCTATGATATGATAATGAAAAGCTAACTCTACCCAAATCTTCTCCGCGAACCATACATATATCAGGTCGATAAATCTGTCTAAAAGAAACACTTGGAAAGAGTAATCCCTATTTCGACAGATTCTTAGTGATTCGTACACTTTTAACTCTATGTTAAGCAGTAAACTTAATAACTAGCTTCATTATACGAAAATACCGGGCTTTTATACCTTTCTATAGTAGCTAGAAGTTATAGTTAATATCAAAAAGGCCCATAAATCAGGTATTCAATTTTTATCTGGATGCTTAACTAATTAATAAGAGAATATTTATTGAGGACATGCGAGTAGATATCCAATGACGTATTACAAGACAGTTAAATCATAATGTGCCTATGAACTGAATCATAAGTCAAAATATGCAATCTAATGTAAATTAGTCACATTCATATAATACGGCACCAGATATCTATAGTATGAACTGTCTAGGAATTTAAATCTGGTTATGGTACTAAACATCGCTAACTCCATCTATCGTGGGATAACTTCATAACAATCGATTATGAATGAGTCTTGGTTAAACCTTAGGTCACTTACTGCTGAGTGCGTTACGGGATTGAAATATCGCATGATTATTCACTAATAATGATGAATCCTAACATGCATTAAATATTAATGTTGACAAATTCTTACTGACTGTGTGCTGAGTACCTGCACAACACCAAGTAACCTTATAATTTGTTCGGTATAGCATGGGAGGCAAGTTGATCTTTATTATTGGTTATTTTTTTATTATATCGTGAGTTTAAGCTATGGTCTAATGTAGACCCCTGTCTCATACCGAATTGCCCTATACATAACGAAAAGGTAATTAAGATTACCTCTTACATACTCTGGCAAATTTTATCGATTCAAACAACAAAAACCCCATATTAAACCATAGTCTGCTAACAAGGTTGTTTTATAGTAAATAACACCATTTAAATAAAGTCTAATACAATAATACATTACGGTACTTTATACGTTTCTTTATCCTTAATTTGCTAAGAATGTTACGCCGGTATTATGCGAGCACTAATCTTGGAATAATTCTTCACAGTGCTAGCTTAAGGAATAGAAATTGTAGTATTACTGATTTCGGTGCTACATCATTAATTAATAACTGCAATCCAAGGAAAATAGTAACAAACTAGCTAAACGAAGCTTGGTGAAGAAGCTAAGTAAGACAATAGAGGATTGTGACTTAAAAATATGAATAAACGATAGCTTCCGGATGAATAGTGTGCATATGTATTAAGTGATATACTGTATAATACTGTATATATAGTCTACATTGCTAATCATAGAGGGTCTAGTGCATGACCTTTGTGAAGAACGAACGTATATATATATATATATATATATACATGAAAAGATTTCGTCATTTATAACAGCATGGCACTTTGCAACAATAGCTGATAAATAGTTTTAATACGTTACTATGATCATAAGCTATAGACTCTACTCATGAAGGGTTTAAATTTATTGCAGTTAGTAACATGTTAAGACCAAAGCAAATTAACAAAATTATTCTTTTGGACGGTGTTCTATTGTCTAATGACACGAAATTCTCGACCTACAAATCCTTGCTAATGATCACTACGTTATTTCTCTTAAAATTCTCTTTTTGATTATAAAGTTCCATGCTTTGGCACTTTTTTACTTTCTACTAGTTATGTATTCACCTTAAGATAATTATTTAGGAGTTCAGGCCTTATCTAAAGGAAAACTATCACTTTATTATTAACTTCAACTGTGTGATAGGAATATAAAGTGAAAATCGAAACTATCAAAATTTAGGCTAAGCGATCGACTAATAGTTTAATTTCCTTTCTGGAGTAGTTTTCTACGCTAGGGTGAAGACGCAAATTGACGGTATTTTATATTACTAGATAGATTGTAAGGTTAACATGACAAGATATTAGAACTGTATTTGATGATCAGACGTTCTCAAGAAATTATTCAACAGCTAAATCGGTTACGTGAAATTTAATAGTAATTAATCTCTTTATCTTGAAACGTTTAAGAATTTTGTTTTATTGTAACATATAATATTGAAATAAATAAAGAATAGATGAGATGACACGTTATGTAATACCATTATGAAGTAAGTATCGATTTTACTTAATTTAAAATAATGATAATGGTATCGCAAGCGATATGAGTTAGAATAGTTAGTTTCGATTATTCTACTTATGATAAATAGCAATCTGTTTCATTCGTCACATTTTAACTTCGTCTATAATGGTAATTCATGAATAAATACTTAGGCTGTCACATAGGAATAAATGTTGCTATTAATCAGCTGCGATGTGCGAGTAGTTATGGTTAAAAACTGTGTATTACAACAGATGATTAACAAGCATGACCACAAAGATAGTTAAAAATGCAGAAATTATTCCATATATAATACAAGTTTATTTTTGATAAACTGGCTTATAGCTTAAACAGGCTTACAGCCTTGTGTCTTACTAGGAATAAGTCTTTTTCGATTTAGTCCGTACTTTATGATTATGGTATAGTAACTAATACGATACTGGTACAAATAACGTTTTCAAAATATGGAACTAGAACAGATATCCTCTGAATAGAGATTCAATAAATACTAAAACATGAGAATATTTATTAGTGAATAATATAGTTTGCAGGATCTATGAGTGGTTTCAATAATATTCTGGAATGAATTTAGCTTACGTCTTGAGTTTGAATTTTATAGTGTATAAGATACACAAGTCAATACATATGATGCCAGTTCAGCTTTGTGTAAAAAATATAAAAATAAATAATGTTTTGGTCAAAATCTATACCAATAGTGATGTTGTAAATTTATGTAATTCATGACTAGTTGATCACTGGTGTGCTTATAGTACATTTTAGAAGGATGGCAATATTTTATTTCGATGATGGCGCTGTTTCCGCTTATTTCTCGTCGACTTAATTCTTCTGGATAAAATAATAAAAATAATTGGATTTACGAGGCAATTAGCAGACATTATTAATGTGGTTATAGTTGCAAAATTAGATACAATCTCTTGATGATAAGGTATTAATCTAGCGGCAAATAGAGCGGATGAGATTCCTGCTGGCATCCATGATAATACACCTGCTGCCACGATCAAACCAGTAATAATAACCCCTAGCTCAAGGTTATCAGATCGCTTGGTGCCGATGAGTAACCGATTATGCTTATTTTGGGCATTAATATTATGAATTTTAGCAAGGGTGATGATATAAATTATAGCAATTGATATATACGTTAAAAATATACCTAGCCCTAGAAATACAACGTAAGGTAACACATAACCATTGCTAGCATCGTCTATGATGCATAATCGATTATACCAACTAACATCGTTAAACGTCCCTTGAACTGTATAAGTAGCAATAATGCATGTTGCAATACCACATATTATAGATAATGACCAAATACCACAGCAACATTTTAGGGCTCTTGATAAATTTAATTTCAAGCTGACTTTAAGTGGATAAACAACAATAAAAAATCGATCTACTGTTATCATAAAAGTCGTTAAAGCAGATGCTATCGGTCCAGTTACTGTTAGAAAGCGTAAAATTAAACATAACGGACTACTTATCCATTGATTGGCCAATGGGGATATAATGCTGGCGTTTTTTCGGCTAGCTGTATCACTTTGATTATGGCTGTATAAAGTTGAATTATGATTTGTGCCTTTATAACCATCAGATTTAAGAGTATAATTTAAGCTTGAATAATAGCTATCCGCTAAAGCTAAAGATAACAGATAAAGAGACGATAGAAGATCTGCTATAGATAAGCTAAGGAACAACAAAGAAGCCACTTTACTAATATTGGGTAAATATTTATTACCGACTTTTCTACCAGTATCGGTTAATCGACTACCTGCTTGACTGACAAATATTAACGCACGTAATTTCCTTCCATATGCTAAATTACGTATACACTTTACAAAAACATATAAATTGAAGATCAAGCCTAATGGTCCACAGGTCCATACTAAAAACTTAGAAATGAGAGAATCACTTAAAATAGCCAATCTTTCCATTGGAATTTAACGATGTAATTCCTGCGAATACCTATTTCTACGTATATCTCATGAAATTTACCAGCAGTAGACCAAGGCTTTGATAATAACTTATAACCGGAGTCAAAGTTGGCGAAGAAAATGATGCGTAGATAACTTTAACTCATGAAATAGTATCACGCTGTACTATATAAAGCGATACTACGATATAGTTTAAATCAATCTTACCACTTTTCGCTTCGCTTGTAACATCAATCTGATTAGATTCTAACTGAAAAGTTAATATGTTGAACAAATTTAGCTAGCATGAGCTAACAATAAGAAACCAACGACAAATTTGATGGTGATTTTAATATTTAGCAAATAATATTTGCTTGTCAAACTTGAAATACTAGTGAATTGTGATCCTAATGGTTATAGTCTACAATAAAATTGAATTCTCTTTCGTTGATGGACAGTAATGATAACTTTTTCTTGTACAGTAAAGAATAAAGATATAATATTCCTTTTTTTCTTTCCAATAAACTACTGTTGTCTAATTTAATAATAAATGATCACCAGTTAATTAATTGAAATCGATAACAAATACTGCACCAATAAGCATGAATGTTGGCATATACAAATAATTTTCTTTGAACCTGGAATGATCTTCTAGTTTGAAATATTGACTTTAAAGGAATGACTTGTGAAACCAGATTAAAGATGATTTGTTATGCCAGTGAATTAGCATTTATCGGTATTTTATGTAAAGAATAGATTTTTAGTAAGTAAAGTAATTGATTTTAAATGCCAACTTTCAAAGCAGGAAACTTTGCTAAGAATAAGTTAAGCACAATTAGGAATCGTCCTCAATTTAAAGTCTGAACATTGATCATTAATAGTAATTCTTTCATCGATGAATTATTAATATATAATTAATATCATCTGAATAATTTCGATGTTGCTTTGACGCCGTACACTTTATTCTTTGTACAATCGATAATTAAAAGCAATAAATAATTCATATCTTATTCATATTGATATTCCTTTCATTAAAATAAACGATTCACTTGTGAATAATGTCTTATTTAAGACACTGAATCTTCATTCAATTGGCAGTAAATACTAGTTTTTATTTATTATGAGTAAGGATACTAAATACGTGACAATGTTAATAATGCCGTATACAATAGCAAGCGATCAATCCTTGAGTTATATTTTGATCATGACACAACCATAGAATATATGCAATACAACAACATAAATAAAATTGATTTATAGTTTTTGTTTCTTTGTCGAGCGTTAATTTTTATTGCCAAGATTAGACGATAATTTATTATAAGAAAAGACGTAAAATGAGGTAATTACTGTTCATGAAGGTAGGACTAAATAATAGTTTTAAATCTAGATAATGTAAAGGATGATGACATATTACTTTATACTAATGTCGAAATATTTGGGTATAAAATTCTATTTATTTACAATTAAGCTTTAAGAGCAATTAAGCCAAAAATACTTACTTTTTATTGTTATGCTTAGATTACTTTGTGCGTAATAGACCTAATTTCATATAGTAGATTATATCACTGTAATGCACAGACAGATCAATGTAAGCTTCAATATTAACTACGATATATGCATTTGTTTTTGACGATTTTGTTGTAGGTACTCGAGAATTATGAAATCATTCAATGCTTGTACAGGGATTCATATATCACTGTTTCCGTGAAACAACACTTTCTATGGTGTTATGATGCCCCTTTTATAATTATAGGGTAGCCGATTTTTTCAAGGCTAAAATTAAATTTTTGCAGTATATTACAAGAGTATCACTGTAGGTGATTATTGCTTAATGTAATGTCTGGAAGAGATGAAATTGGCCCACATTGTTTCCTATTTATGATATTCTATGTTTGAACGATACGATATTTAGATACTTAAATAGTTCGATTAACTGTAGTTATTATCATGCTTAACAATACTTCATATAGGCTGTAACATCATTATCATGCATCAAGTCATGGGGTTCATATATTTAGATACGGATTATATCATTTTACAGTTATTTATGCAAGGAGGCAATTCCGCTGTGCGATGCTAACGCATATCTGTACATTGTCAGGGGACATAGCATAGCTGTAATGTGAGACGTTGCGCAGAATCATCTAGAAATGAACATCTTATTAAATATTTTGGATTACGATCTACGATAATTTTCGTTTATTGCTACAGAATATTGTGTATCTAATCTGAATTGCGTCTTGCTTGTGTATGGCTAGACACAATTTTTTTGAGAAAGTTTTAATCATAAGTAATTCGCGTTGCTAATTTTTGGATGAGCACGATATAAGCTCCTTAATTTTAATATTACACGTATATTGTGAATCGCAATACTAAAAATTTCATTATGATTATAAAAAAGCGGATATGTAGCGGATACTCTGTTAGTGTACAACAATACATAATACGCGATAATCAAGTTTATATGCAATAGGGTTGAGATAGAAGCGGTATCATGAATCATATATTATGATATACAGTATTATACTAAACAATCACCTTTCGACTGTAACCTTTGTATAAGTAATGAAAGAATTGCATTTTCCTAGGTGCTCTTTAACGCTGTACTACTGAATATATAATGTGATTGCCCTGCATTCGACATAGATGCTCATTATATCGAAAATGTAATTCATGGCTTATTGCTTACTGTAAGACCATTGTATCACGATGTGCAAGGTCGTATTAACAAATCAATTAATTACCAAAATTAATATTAAAATATGACCGGAGATCATAATACGTTATCTCTGATATCGACGAAAAGAATAGACAAAGCTCTAGATATAATATCAAATGTAGGGTGTAATAGGAAATTGATGGTGGGAGTGTTTTGTATTTTTGAATTGCGCGTGGTAATATATTTACAAGTATTTTAGATTTTAGTTAGTACAGTAATAAATACTGTATCCGTAGAGATTAGCTGTTGCAGTAATATCAGATTCGCTTTATTCCTGCCAATGTTAGATTACACCATGTAGTATGCAATGAAATAAAAAGTGTGGAGATCAAGCTACAAAACTTTAACAAACTTTGATTCTACTTTCGTTGCACTCCGGTCGACTTAAAGAAACTTTGACACCAAATAAAATTTGGGGAAATAATCGATCAACAATTTATTACCAAAAAAATGAAGAGAAGTATAAACCGAACAACCTTACAAATACTTAACGTTAAGTATTAATAAAAAAAGTGACAGACTTAAAAACTGTCAACAACCAAACAGCCTTTCAAAATGAAGAACGTTTTAACTTACGACAATTCGACCCCGAAGGCCTTTTAAATTCAACAAGTTCTTTAAATGAATCTTCTTCTACTATCTCTCTAAATTTTCTAATTGCACTATCATTTATAGGCTTCGTAGAGCCATCAGAGGTATTTAAAACTAAACATTTACTAACCAATCGCTCTTTTTAGAAAACTACTTTGCTCCATTTAAGAAAACAAAAATCATTCATAGTTCAGACACAATTTACCCTATGATTCCCTTACAAAACACTATAAAACTAATAAGTTAACTATGAAAATACATCAAACTTCACTTCTAACATAATCTCTATCATTAATGCATTATAAAAGTCTAAAAATTAACCTTTAAACATCAAGATTTAATCATAAAAATAACAGTCTAATTACTTAACAATCAACACAACCTCTGCCAATTTCCATCTTATTTTCTATTTTCCTAACTAAACTTTCCTAATATGACTTTCATGTCACGTCATAAAAATTCCAAAGTTTCAAATTCATAACAAAAAGTTCAAATTTCAAAAATCAACTCTTACGATATTTTTCAGAAACTAAAATCCAAAACTTAAAACAGAAAAATTAAAACAGATAAATTAATACTGAAAAATTATGTCGGACATAAATCCGACCGGTTCCGGAATCCGAATCCGAAAAATCCGGATTTTATAAAGATCACACTGATCGCTTATCAAGAAATGTTATATGACTACTACGACTACTTTTCTGACATTAGTATCGCTTAGTATTGACAGTTGATGTTTTAGCGTCAGGTTGTACGGTAACTGTACGATTATAGACTACATTACAGTACTTTACTGTCATGCTATTAATCCCCTTTCTCTATGGATAGGGTTTTGTTACTAAGTCAAATTGATTTATAATTTGAATAGACTATCAAACGCCCTTTCTTTAGATTAGGCAATTGCTCTAGGGCTACTTCTATAGTAATCTATATAATACCTTGTAAAATAATGAAGAAGAAAAGATGGCGACATAATGATTTGGCAGGGTAAAACTTAAAGACGCTATCACTTTATAGGTATTTTCTATAGTAAAATAATACTAGTTACATACTAAAAGCTATAAATGACTCTACTTTTAGTCCTTTACTATAAGTAGAAATTAAAATTTTCTGGCAAATCTAATCTGTTAACATCGAATTTCTATTTAATTCTAAGAAGTAAAACTATAAGAACTGTTACTATTATTAGTGTTGTGAGGAATTACAGTAATTTTAATCGGTGGTTATTTATCGAATGTAACCGTAATATGGCATTAATATATATAAATAAATTAAATAATCTTATTCCAGTTATGAAATTTGAGTAGCCATCGACAAAAACTATTTGCATCAATAATCAGTTAATAATTTATTAGTGAACGCAATACCACTTAATAAAATTTATTATTTTACAGTTAACTGAAAGAAAATTAATTATGTATGAAATAGCAGCCATCCCTAGTTTTTACTACTGACGTCAATGAAAAATAAATATTACTAATAAGCAATGATCAGTTTAAAACCTGCGCGTCATAGACTGCGAAAATTTGAATTTGGTTGATCGACCACATCCAACAATAAGTTGATGTTAGATTACCGTAAACAGTATAAATTTGTTTATTATTTAAAATTGTACGTTCCGTTAATAAAGAAAACATAGATACGCTTACTTTAGTAAGTTTGGCCTTTGTTATAACTTCGAAATAATTTCTTTTATTTCTGTATTTGATATAAAAATATTGAATATTATAAATAACCTTTTCAAGTTTAAAATTATTAGTACTTTACATAGTTGAAGATTAGATAGCGGCGATCAGAATTTAAATGTTGTATGTATATTTTACTTCAAGCGAAATCCTAAGTATTATTTTTATGAGAAATTTGATGGACTTTTCCATTAATAACAGATTCTTACTTTAAATTCACGTCAGTTAATTTACAATTCGTAGCTAATCATGTTGCATCACAGTTAAGACTTCGTTATGTTGTAGTTATCTCACCTTTGCACGGTTTTTGTGGAGTAAAGACTATACCGTTAACGGTACTCATTAAAGTTAGCTATATTAAAAGACTTACTTAAATTGAAAATTTGAATCGGCGCGTAAATTACTCTATACGTACGTATTGTCTGATTAACCAACGCGGATGCAAATTAGGAAGCCTTTCGTTGATATGAGCAATGCTAGATGATAAATTATATAGATAAACAAGGCGATATTATTCAATCAAGCAAGGAAGTGATTCTTAAATATAGCAAGCGAATGTTTGAAAGCATCCTTTTTAAATATAATGTACCAGTCATCAATACAGTACTGCTCATCAGAGTTGTGAACTGAAGTCACTGCAAACAGAGTTGCGCTTATGTTCGTTCGAGTGCCCTAGTCCTACTGAAATATATGTTTTGAAGATGAATGTTTTAAAGCATTTTAGCGTTTTTATTAATCAACTCGAACTTAAGAAAATGCTAATGAAGATGTTATAACGTTCTGTTTATAACAGATTTATTGTGATACAGTGTAATTATTAACGTGAATGAATGTAAGGGTATTTACCTTAATTGAAACTAATATTAAACATTAACAAAAACCTCCAATATTAGTCATGCTTCATTATGATTATTATATAAAATTAGCAACCGCCTACAACTGAGTCACCATGGTGCTTTAAAGATGCAGAATGTAAAAATTAAGCAGAATAGAAGTGTATCAATTCTGTCGGATCTTCTGGCGATATTATGATCTCGTAAAATGAAATTCGATAATCTTTAAGGTACCCTTATTACGGAAAGCCAACTAAGTATGGTAATTTTATCATAATGGTTTTTAAAATGCCTGCAAGTTAAATTAAAATTATTGCTAATTTCTTAAATTGGGATATGTAGGGTATGTGGACCACTACCTTCTATACTTTTATGAGAACTAGACCGAGTACGATACTATCACAGCGGTTGTTTGATGATATGCGTGAAGATGAAGAGTATGCTGTATCATATTCCTTGACACCTTAATATCATAAGTATCAAATATACTTTCATATTTGCTCCATATTATGGCATCTATGCTTAAGCCCTTAAAACTTAACTTAGGCAAATGTTTAATTGACAATAATTTTAAGTATAGACCTAACAGCTTTATATTTCAATGCGTAGTGTATTCTGAAACAAAGTCTTGAAAGAAGTGATCTATTCAGATACAAAAATGTTTCCTGCCGCATTAAACCTAATATTGTAAACCGTAAACGCAACATGATTCTATTAAAGTTTATAATTATTTAAGGCTTCTCATACCTGATCAGACTATTCCGTCCATAATTTATTTTAAATTTAGTATCAGGATCTACAAAGAAGAAATTTTATATATACTCATCCTATCAAAAACTTATTATCTAGTTGATAGCCCATAAGAAGTGGCTAACCATTTTATTTGAAAGTTATTACTGACATAAAGAAAGCAATTCCTCACAATTACCGATATCGATAGCTTTTTTTATTAATATTTTGACTATTAGCAAATTTATATAGCTTTATCACTTTACTACGTGCGTTTAGGATAACTTCAGAATGAAAAATTACGCTATTACAAAGTGGAACGCATATGAAATAAATCTACAGCTCCTCATATTGAAATCTACTACTAAATCACAGTCGCTGCTTTGATACAGATACAGTTAGCAGTCGGTAAATTGAATTATAAGTTGCAATCAAATCATTATTAACACTTAAAATTTCTATGATACTTTCTACACAAGTCACTGAGTGATATCAATGTTTGAAATGTTCATATTTATTAGCAGAGGATCTTAATAAGTATTTATAAGCTTATCAATGTACCGACTAGGTTAAAGATTTCAATAGATAAATTTTAATAATTAAAAATATCTACGTTACTGAATGATAATAACAAATAAATCCAACAATTTAGTCGGATTCATAGTAGCAAGACGAATACAATAATTTAGATAATTGTTTGTAAGCGGTACGAAGTATTAGACTGAATTGTTAAGTAATAATAACATCGCTACGCTTTAATCTATATTGTACCTAGATGAAGGCCGACTTATAATTCTAGGATTAAGTAAATTAAGTAAAATAGTTGTAATACACATGAAGATTTGATTGTTTGAGTATCCAGAAAGATAAAAATGACTTGACAGAAAAGGAAGACTGCACTGACAGTCAATATAATACAGCCTTAGTTATATTAATTTGAAGATGTTAGAACACGAAGATTATTCATTTAAAAATTGAGATGAGGAACAAATCACATTATTAATCCATTTCAATAAACATAAGTATTGTACGCTTTAATAATAATTAAATATAAAATGAGATAAGAGTGGAGATAGAGTATTGGAAAAAGACAAAATGAAGATGAAGGTATGGTATGAAATTATCATATAGAAACATACGGTTAAAATCAAGGAGGACATCTCAAATTTATAAAACACAATATTTCTTCTTGCAATTATCATTGAACCAAAATCTTTATTTCTGTGCTATTTCTATTGTTATATATATACTATCTATTTATAGTTGATTATCTTTGGAGTTATTAATTCTATTGCTTCGGCGTTTTCGTGTCATTAATGTCGACATAGCTAAAAATATAATTGGGTTAATTAAACCATTAGTAGAATAAAGTAGAGCGGTCATTATACCGCGAAAAGCGAAGTTTTCACGGCTTAACTTATCATAACCAACAGAATAAAGTATTGTTGTTATGGCCGAAGGTAACCAACAGGTAATATTAGTTATAATAATTAAGCCGTTAATCACGACACCTACATAAATATTATTTAATTTATGGATACGATATTGAGATTGATGAGTTCCATTGTTTTGCTGCCGATTAGCAGCAATTGTTGAACGATAACTTCTTGTTTTAGCAATTATAATCATGTAGATAGTGCATATTAGAGAATATATCACAACATTGCTAATGCCAATATAAGCGGTCATAAAGATAACATACTTGTTTTGTAAGCTATCTAATATACACAGTGAGCTATACCATGTTGTAAATGTATTATGATGAGGTACAGTAAATTTAGCTAAGAGAATAGCAAGAATGCCGCATGAAATAGAATAAATCCATATGATTACGACAGCAAAGCTAGCACGTTTAAGTGTAAATCGTTTATCAGGTTGATACGGAAAAATGATAAGAATAAATCGGTCAATTGTAATAATTAATGCAATATTAACTGAAGCTATGGAGGCAGTAGTAGTTAGAAATCGTAATACATAGCATGCTGGCTGCAATTTCCACTGGAAAAGATCAATAACATCTGGATAAATATTATGAGTTAAATTAGTGATATTGCGAGATACATAAATCTGACGATAGTATGCATCACTGCCTGCTAGTACAGTCAAGTATAACGATGCCAACATATCGGATACACTTAAATTTAAAAATAATAAGCAAGCAACTTTACCCATTGCAATATGACCACGACGTAGATTATACGGCTGGTTTGTACGATTACTTCGCATATATTTACCATTAGAGAATATATTTAGTAATACACCTGGATGTTGCTGTATATTTAACCTTTGCCAAGTCAAGTATAAAATATAGGAATTCGCTATGATGCCTAAAGGTCCACAAATCCATGACATAATTTGTGGCAGGATAAATTGACGAAAAACCAACATAATTTTAATACTTGCAAATCGATCGTAGAGTATAGTGCCAATTATTTTCGGATAGCCTTTAACATTACCGAATTACCTGAAGTTATAATAGATTGAATTTCACCTAAGTAAATATTTTTACTTAACGGTGAGATTTTATTGCTAAACCTTGCTTTACTAATGGCAAGGCCTTGGCTAACAATGGAATGAAACTAAAGTATTAGTATATAAGTTCCGTGAGCTACACCTGACAAATACACCGTTCAAAATTCTTTTTCTTTTAGCGGACTTTTTGATACTACAAGTAAGGTCGTCTTGTGCTAAAGTGATCATTAATGTGTTCTCTTAGTGTGCTGCTTAGATAATTTGACATAGAAACCTTTTGATTTTTGAATTTCCTCCATCGATACGATATTTTACATTACGGTATTATTTGCATTATATAAATTATTTACTAGTGCATATTATATCAGAAGACGGTATGTGAGAAATGATTTGAAATGCACTTACACCCTTAATAACATCTTTCAATCACAGAATTTGTTAATTATGTATTATATAGCTATAAAGAATTACCTTGCATTAATTGTATTGTAGAGGGAATTTTTTCTTATAAGATCATGTATTTCTGTTGCTGCAATATCGAAAGTTCTATTGTTGAGGATAATAAATAAAATTCAACGGCTTCTTTACTTAGCGGAGCAGATAGGAACCACGTGATGAAAATAGACTAATTCAAAACATTAAATTCATGTCAATAATGTCATTTATTCAGACCCTTAATATGAACAGCATCTGCAAATTACTTATCAATTGCTGGTGATTTTCAAGTGGGCTGAAGGAGGAAACCTATTTTTCGCTTATTTGCTTGAATTATCATTATTCTATAAAGAGTCATTCTGTCCCCTTTTAATGGAATGGTATTTTGCTTTTGATATTAGTCATAGGATCTTTACCCTATCATCTCTGAATAATATTGACATTGTTAGCCAAAATATTTTTAAAGTATTAAATCTTTAGCAATAAAAATTATGCCAAACTGGGACCAAAATCTTCATGAAGCTTGTCTATTCATCTATAGATGTCTTAAATATTTTATGGATTACGTTACACTTATATAATAATTTAGGATGAATTATTGTATTTCCTTTCTGTTCTCAATACCATATCATGAATAATCTTAACGAACGTAAAATGAAATTTTGTACATTGATTCAGCAAATGAATTCTTGTATCATGCTACAATTTGGATTACCCGTGATAAGGAATACTGTGATTATAGCTATAGCACTCACGTAAAGATATGATATTGTCGACTAATGCGTACTGCAGCGAGTTAAAACTTGGCTAAAAGTTTATATGATTACTAATACCATCTTGGTTATTGGAATAAACGATGCTATAATTATTTTTGAAGTCTTTAATTATAATGTTATAAGAGTTACAACAATATGAAGTTGTAATTATTATCTATTATATCTGTACCATGTATAGTTACTGATGAAGGTTTACTGACAGCTGAATAGAAAAATTCGAGCTTTAACCTACATTCGAACATATAATGAATTGTAATTAATTGACTAGAGTAGATTAGGTAATCAAGGTAAAAATAATATCAATGAGAGTAAAGAATAGAACAGAAAGACGTATACAATATGCAATATCTAATAGAACCGAGCCTTTCTCAGGTGTACTAGGACATATACCTTTCTCGTAGTTGTAGTAAGGCACCACAAATATTAATAAGATTGTGTATTACCCTCAATATTGATATACTTATACGTCTAATGTGAATAACACGTTAAATACAACATTAGTGAGAAGAATTATGTTTAAAACTATACAAAAAAATATAGTTGCTATTATTAATTCAGGATAGACTCTTTAGGCATGGCGTGAGTATAGGAATCAAGACTATCGGGAGAAGATTTTACCGTAAATCCTATAAAAGTGTTATTACATGCTCTATTTTGCAAACTTATGATACTTAAGATATATCGTTTTTACAAGAATGGGTACATGATAGTATTTTAGTTCATTATCTTAATTCTAATATTATCTTTATAAGGATAATAATAGAAATAAGTTTATTGATAGCTCTGTATAAGCAGATGGTCAAATACAATGATATAAGTATAACTTATGCCTATGTTAAATATCCGTACAATGCTAGAACCTGAGAATAGTAAAATTCGCTTTTATATGACACGATTATTTAGCAACAAAAAGCTATCAGGATATTAATGCGGTGAAATAGAACCCATAAGCACAATACCTGATATTTAAGTATAAGAACTGGCATTTTCAAAAATTCTTTGATAGTAAAATCTGAGTTTCTTTATTCTAGTGACAATTCTCTTCTCTAGCGGATAACTTTGTCACTAACGCTTCCTTTATCTTACTATTAGAGCAATATGGCTGAGTTTGGAACTTTACATTCTTTCGATAACAAACTTTACTTTGATCATATAGGATCGCCGTGCGAAGTATCTATCCACTTTCAAATCTTCAATTTTCTACTTATTGGTTAATATGCTATCTTAGCAGATGATAACACTTCAAATCGTCTTTTATGATTTAATGGAGCAAGTATGGCTGGTAATGCATCCTTGATGAGTCATCTTCGATTTATTTATTCCATAACCTGATAAAATCATATAATGTCGTATTGTATAAAAATTAGTTAACTGCTGTTAGTTGATGGAAAGAACATTGCAATCTACGGTTGCTAGAGAATCTATTTCAATAGACAAACGCTTATTTATGATATTATTTTAAACTGTATTAAGCTATTTCGCATAGGTTGGACTTGTAAATTATTTATTAACGATTTGAAATTATTATTGCCCTTTAATTTAAATTGATTTATTGATATTGTAGGAATAAAATTTTTATTTTCTTCAATTTTTCTCCAATACGCTTTTCTAGTCAACAAAGTATTGTAAAATCTATTAGCTACTAGCGACTCATTTATTGTCCATGCCATTTTTTTATTAAGATTAAAAGGGTTAAAATGTTCAAGGGTTATTAATGTCGACTAGGTATAGAAAATATCTGTTTTAAGTTGCGTGGCTAGGCAAGAAGGTTAATTAATCTATTTTATTTTTCATACTTTTATTATAGACAATACATAAACTAGACGATATTGAGATAGATAACTGCAGTAAGAGAGCTATCGAATCAGATGTGTAGAACGTACCGTAAACTAATAATGACCGAACTTTCCCCCTGCTGATGCATTGTGATATACAATATACAATCTTACTAATTGATAAATTGGCTAGAAAATATCCGCCGGAACCACTATATCAGCAATCGTAGCATAAAATGTGTTAAAAACTGCAGTAACTAATGGTAACAAATAATCACACCATAACAGCATTATTAAAATATAGAATATGAAGTCCTGTTTTGTTAAATGAGTTGTCATGATAAATTCGTAAACAAGTTATGAAAGAACACCAAAATACTGATTAATTTTTTAACAAGCTGAATAGTCGTTACGAGGAAGTTTTTTTAAAATAGGCTAGTAAGAAAGAAAAACAATTTAGTTGGTTTACAATTTTCCTTTATGGTTGATTAATCAATGATTTCATTCACGATTTTTTTAGAAATTCATTAATGGCAGATCGATCATTCGACCGGCGATGAGCATAATAATGACTTTCTGGTTTGTATATTAGCAGGTTATCTACGACAATATCATCTTAAGAGGATGTGACTATGATATAATAAGACGGAAAAACATTTCATGCATTATTTCTTTGAGACAAAACGATGGTCTTGTTTAATTATTTATTCTAATCAAAGCTATTCATTCGATTGCTTGCTTTCTTGTGATAAAGATTAATTATCCAGCGGTTTACAGAACAACAAATGATACAGAGATTTCGATGATAGAATGTGGCATTTGGAACACTATTCGTTGAAGTTTACTTTCGGTGGAGGAAATACTTAGATAATAATATTAACCTTATATCCATATATAATGATCTCTTTCACTGCACATTGTGAATTAAAGGTGTTGATCGACCATATTTAAAAATTCGTATACATAGTGCTATCCAAAAATATATCATTGTCATGAATAAATAAAACTTGGAATGGATAGATTTAATAGCTTTACTGAACCATTTTAAAAAAATAATTTCATTACTAATACTAATGTTAGAAATTTGACGATTCGCGTGAAGTAGCAGTGATAAAACGGAATTAAAATAAAAACTAGGTTATTTAAATTTTAAAGAACATTAAAATATATTGACACAGTTGGGTTTTGGAATGAGAAGTTGATTATAAGGCTTCCGGTATAAAATATCATGCTTTGAAATTGCAGTAGTTCCGCTTAAATATTTAAAAGTAATAATAAGCGCTGTAATAAAAATTATCTTCAATGACATTTTATCTAGCATGTAATTTGCTAGATCTCAATAATCGTAATTAGCTAGACAAAATGTATTATAAGGTTAGCTAATTAATATTTATTAGTTGTTCTTGATATTATTTTATATACCAGTATGACACTATATACCATATACTCGTTAATATTACCTCCTCCAGTAAAAATACTTTAATTTAAAATACATTTTGATTGATTCATAAAGCCCAATACGATATCCGTATTATTACCACAACAAAATTTACTGAATTTGAATTACTTTGAATAGATTGTGAATTTATAAATTATGGTACGGGCTTACAGTTGAAGGAAAGCACAGTGTACTACTAGTGTGCTTAATCTATGTGGTATCTTTCTCAATCAGACTTACAAAGATTACTTATTATTGTTCCACAGACGATATTTGCAAGTAGTTTCAATAACAGATTAAGGGACAAGACAGAATAATTTAAAGAGGCATTTTATAAATTCTTAAATCAATTAGACACATAATAGGTTACCCATCTAGTAGCCTAAAATAATATAGTATTATAAATGTATGGTGTAAATTTTATTGTTAGTGCCAACGTATCTCAGCTGATTTATTTATAGTGATAGATAAACGTTATTCAATATGTTATGTTCATGTATGGTATTTATTGCTGGTGCAATGACTAACATTAGTACCCGGATGTTAAATTGTCAAGATTTAGATACGGTTCTTTGCATAGTATAATTGTCTTAAATTATTAATCTGTACCTGAATCTGAGTGCATAAAATTTATGGTATTAAAGGCAATGCAAGCCAAGCTGGAGAGAGTTAGCGTAGGGTTATTAATTAGATTCGATCTCGTAACTCCTTTGGTAGGTTTCTAATTTTAACTAAATAAATTGGATATTTAACCGATCTACAAGTTTGGTCATTATTAATTACTATATCTCAACATAATATAGTCAATTTCATTATGAATTAAAGTCTTGAAAATATTCGAGATTTTATAAAATAGTAGCATTATTGCTAGAAATTTCTTATAGTTATCATAGTACTGAAATATTCGTTCTTCAATAAATCTATTGATATTTGCAAAATAAGCGAATAAATGCATTGTATTACAATAAAATTAATATATTGTTAATGCTTAATTATTAACAAACTATGTAAATATAATACTGGCAGTAATGTTGTTAAAATCTTATTAACGCTAATTTAGTGATTAATAATTGTATTAAATCTTTTGCTTTAGCGTCAGTTTTAGCATCAGTTTCGTATTTTGAATAGAGATAAGATATAATTACTTATTTACTCTGCATTTTTTATGAATTTATGATACATTAGTAAGCTGGTAATGATTTTCTATTCAATTTAGATCTGCGGCTTTAATTATTACTAAGAAATTAGCTTCATTATATTCCATAGAATTTTTCTATGTTCCAATGTAGCGGCACCTGCGATAATACAGCGAATAAAACCCCATCATTATTTATTTATAGCGAATACAATTTTTTTGATTAACGTGTCCGCATAATTGTTGTACAATTATCACAAGAAATTATTGTAGATAACAGGGTAGTGTATCTAAAGATAGATTCGCTTTATTTACCTAATTACCATATAAACTGAATATCTTAAGATAGCGTTATTACTTCAGTATATAACACATTGTTGAATGTCTGATCAGTTATTTTGAACCTTTGAATATGGCTGCTAAGCAAATTATAGGTGAAAAATGTAATATTAATGCAGTTTTGTACCAATACTTTAATGTACTTGTACCTTTGCTATTGCGTAATTTCACTTGCAGTTTTCAATATAACATACCTATAAATGTTACGACAAAATCATAGGTTTCTGACGATAACAAAGAAACTTTTAAGTATAGTTTTTAGGGAAATGTTAGTATTTTGACATTTTTACAAAGTTACGCTAGAAATAACATGCAATACTGGTATTTGTAGTCAAAGATATTAATAATCATGAGCCATAAATTACAACTATATATTTTCATTAATCGTACACTTCGCAATCCTAACTAATTTCCCAAATTTAGTATTTTTTTCATAGCTATTTAATTAGTAAGAGTTGTTTTATCACATTGCAAAAATCTTAAATAATTTAAATGGCTGCAGAGTTTTATGATAAATTTCTTTGCAACAATTTCATTCTTAATGCGTGTACATACGGTAAGACTCTATTTCATTCTTGTCGATCCTTTAAGTGAAAAAAATTGATAGACTAGTTATATAGCAATCTTTCTTACTAGTTTATATTTATGATTGTGCCGACTCAATGATTAAAATTTTGACAGCCAGCTAACTTTACTGTTTGTATTCGATAGTGTAGAATTAATTTACGCTTTCAACAATGGTGTAATCAATTGCTATACCCATATCATTACTATCGATCATTTTGTTTATTCAAATCGAATTGGATTCATGTTATCATTACTGTCACGGTACGAACTACCGTGAAGAAATAGCTATCTAAATTTGGCTAATATAATATAGTGATACTATATTACAACTAGTTACTTACAATAGGAATTACTCTAATTATAAATGTGTTACAGTAAATTTAATGCTGTGCTGTAATGTGCACTGAAATGATTCTGTGAATGGACATATTGTAGTCCGACTGTGAAAAACTAGTTAGTAGATGTTGTCACCTAAGTATTTTTATAAGATGACTCATGAATGTTAGCTGCTGTAGAAGGGTATATAATCCGGTCAGATAGTTGAATAAAGTAGTTCTCAATTGTCTAGTTGAGTTTAACGTAGAATCAAAGGCGTCTAAATTCTTGTGAGATAGTTAAGGGATACTGGATCCCGGAGACTGTAGTAATTTAGAGATTTGTTTTACGTTATCCTTGTCACGAAGCTGGTTTGACATCGTGACAATTACATATCAAAATTAAGTTTAAAATCTCAAGATAATTTCCCTTATTATGATAAAAGTTAGGAGATTAGAATGGATAAATAATAGATTTCTACGTAATCATACTGGTTTATCGTAAGACTTCAGATTGCTTTAATTCGTTAGAGTTTAGGTTATAAATTCAAATTTCGGTTACTGCTCGAATGAGTAAGTACTAATTTACAGTTATTGGGGGCATACTGGGCTCATAAAATGTACAAAACATGTCAATTTGAGGTAATTCGATATTATTACTTGATCCTGCTCATCATTGAAGAAGGTACTTGTTAATAAATGTTTCAACGTCAGCCAGAATAGCTATTGTCATGCTGTCCGTAATTACTACTGGAACTTGAACTTTGCATAATCGCTACTAGTGAAATTATCGGGTCTTTAACTGTTTAAGTTACTAACTCGCCATAATACTTCTGAAAATTGTACCAATTAATTATTAATCACAACCATTAGCTCAACTTTAAGAAGTTTACTGTAAATATTGTCCTTAAGTCTATTCCATGCGAATATGCCACGCTATCATCTCTATTGATATCACATAAGTTTAATTCTAATTATGTGAAGGCTTACGTAAGTTTGATATACTTTTACATGTTCAGCATTTGATAAAAATTCGTATATTCTCAAAATCTGGATAACAACTGTGCAATTAGAAGTAATGACATTTTGTAGTCCTTACTTAAAATTTATAACCATAAGCTGATGATTTTACGGGTATATGGGGTTGAGATTCTCATAATTCAGTCTTAATTGAATTTAAGCGATTTTGAGAGGCGGTCATTGTTTAGTTTTAGAATTTAATGGCGGATCAGTCAATTTTTAAAATAGTGAATTGGGATAACAGTTGCTATTAATAAGTACTTCAATTCAATTTCGATTTGAAATCTATAATACTTGATGCCAATAGCATGTTTTTATAAGAGTAACCACAATGTT